ATCTCCTCTTTAAATGTCATCAGCTATTTCCCTTTTGAGTTAAATGAAATGCTATAATGATGTTCTCTGTATGTGTCATCAACATTACTGTGTAACAACTTCGGTTCAGATGAAAGTAAAGTTCATGAGGTGCCCATATCCTTGACTCTTTCCTCTATGTATGAATACCCCTCCTCTCATTTGACTCATTTTGTGAAATACAGAGTTCCTTCCCCTTCAACCTCTAGTGCTCCCATAGTGTAGTCCCTGATCTCTTCCATTTTCTTCTTCTGAAAAATTATCTAAACAGAACAAAACCAGTTTTAAGACCTCTTTCTTCTCTGAACTCAAGATTCAGACTGAGGTATAATATAGGCCAATATAGAAATTCATTCTGCATGATTTTGAGTATTTATTAGGAGTTTTTTTCTTTTTTTCTCTTGATTTTCAATTTGAAAGGAAAAAATGAATGTTTATTAGTTGAAAAAAAGTAGTTTTTTAAAAGGTTATGGCATTCAAAAACTCAAAAGGCCTCATACTTTTCAAGTCTTCTTAAAGTCCTTAGTTATCAGTGGTATTTGACATTCTAAAGGGATTTGCTATACACAGACCTTTCTGTTATAAACAGAAGGTATTTAGCTAGCACACCACTCATACAAAATAATACTCCTTAGGCAAGATTCATTTATTGAATTGTTCTGTGTGACTATGTTCACATGAAATTCTAACAAGATGCCTTAGGTTTTTTTGGGGGGGGGGGATAAGATACCGTTGTTGTTGTTTCGTCCTTTCAGTCATGTCTGAGTCTTTATGACTCCATTTGGGGTTTCTTGGCAAAGATACTAGATTGGTTTGCCATTTCCTTCTCCAGATCATTTTACAGATGGGGAAAATAAGGCAGCAAATAGGGTTAAGTGATTTGCCCAGGGTCACAAAGCTAGTAAATGTCTGAGGTTAAATTTGAACTCAGGTCTTTCTTGACTCTAGGCCTGGTGCTCTATCCACTGTGCCACCTAGCTGCTCTAATAAAATACTGAGAGAACCCCTCAAAATCTTTAGGCATAATCCCAGTTTATAACTTACTTCAACTTCTCTTAGGCCATAATCCAACCCAATCATTTTATAGATAGGAAAACTGAAGCCTAGGGAGATGGAATTGATTTGCCCATGGTCACAAAGGTAAGTGTTAAGAGGCAGGATTAAAATCTAGGACCTCTTATTCCAGAGTCCTCCTCTCATGCTACACAGATATGGATTATTAGTTTTAAAATAAGTGCTTAAGTAACAATCTGTGCAATGAATTATAAAGCTGACTACAATATTATTATATAATTATCCCATTTTATGATTTAAATAACTGAAAGGGGAAAGATTATAGAAGTCAATACAAGAAACAGATGATTCCCAAATCTATATATCTAGTTCTAGCCACTTTGCAGAGCTACCATCATGCATCAATCAATCAATAAGCATTTACTAAGTGCCTACTATGTGCCAGGCACTAGGCTAAATGCTGGGGATACAAAAAGAGGCAAAAGATAGTCCCTGCCCTCAAGCAGTTTACAATCTAATGGTGGAAGAAAATATGCAAACAAATATATGCAAAGCAAGATATATACAGGATAAATAGGAAATAATTAACAGACAGAAGGCATTGTAATTAAGAGAGTTTGAGGAAGGCTTCCTGAAAATGATGGAGTTTTAGTTGGGCCTTAAAAAAAAATTGAGGAGATCAGTAGTCACAGCACAGGAAGAAGAGAGTTCCTGGCATGAGGGACAGCCAGAGAATGTCCAGAGCTGAGAGATAGATTCTTGTTTGTGGAACAACCAGAACACCAGTGTCATGGGATCAAAGAGTATGTGTCAAAGGCAACATAAAACTGGAAAGGTAGGAGGGGGGCTAGGTTACGAAAGACTTTGAATGCCAAAGCATTCTGTATCGGCTCCTAGAAGCAATAGGCAGCCATCAGAATTTATTGAGGAGAGGGGATGGACATAATCAAACCTGTGCTTTAGAAAAATCACTTTAGTGACTGAATGGAGGATGTAATGGACTGAGGAGAGACCTGAGTCAGGCAAACCTACCAGCAGACTACTGCAACAATCCAGGCATACTGTAATGAAAGCCTACCTTAGAATAGTGGTAGTGTCAGAAGAGAGATGGAGGCATATTAGAGAGATGATAGGCCTTGCCAAAAGCTTAAATATGAGGGTGAGAGATGGCAAAGAATCCAGGATGACTCCTAAGCTGTGAGCTAGAGAGACTGGGAGGATTGTGTTACCCTTGGAGAGAGGGTTTAGGAGGAAAAATAATGAGTTCTATTTTGGACTTACTGAGTTTAGGACATCTAATGAACATCCAGTTCAAGATTTCTGAAAGGCAGTTGGAGATGCATCATCACCTGTCATAAGGACATCTCAAACTGGATAGATGGATCTCAAATTCAAAATGTCCCAAACAGAACTCATTTACTTTTCTCTCCAAATCTTCCCTTCTTCTAAAACTTCCCCCCCTTTTTTTAGTGTACCACCATCCTCTTAATTACCTAGGTACTCAATATCATTTTCATTCTCACTCCTGAAACTATCAATCATCTCACATATCTAATCCATTGCCATATTCTATCACTTCTACCTTTACAACTTCTCTTATGTAGCCACCGTAGTTCATGTCCCTCTCACCTAGACTACTGCAGTAACTTTTTAACAGGTCTCCTTTCCTCAAATCATTCCCCACTACATTTCACCCTATGCTAAGCTAGCTAGGTGATTTTCCCAAAGTGCATATCATGCTGTGTCATGTCTCTGAGACTCAGTTATGATATAACAGCTCCCTATTGGCTTCATGATCAAATATAAATGGACATTTAAAGCTCTTCGTAACACAACTACTTTCTAGCTTTCTTATACTTTATTTGTGCAGTATATACTTTTCTTGTAGTTCCTAGAATACGACACTCCATCTCATGCCTGGAATGCTCTGTCACCTTTCCTTTACATCCTGGTTTCCCTGACTTCCTTCAAGGATTAGATCAAATCCTCCATTCAACAGGAGGCCTTTCAAAATCCCCTTAGCTGCTAATGTCTTACCCTCTTAGATTTTTTTTGTTGTTACTGAGTCATTTCACTTATGTCCAATTCTCCATGACCCCATGGATACTGGAGTGCTTTGCCATTTTCTTCTCCAGTTCATTTTACAGATAAAGAAACTGAGGCAAACAGGGTTATGAGATTTATCCAGGGTTACACATCTAGTAAGTGTCTGAGACTGGATTTGAACACAGGTCCTCCTAATTCCAGGCTGAGCACTCTATCCACTGTGCCACCTAGCTGCCTATTCTATTAGATTGCCTTCCACTAATTCTGTACTTATCATATATTCCTTTCCATGCTTACAATCACATTAGACTGTGAGCTACTCAAGGGCAAGGACAGGGTTTTTATCTTTCTTTGATTGCCCAGCCCTTAGCATAGTGGTTGGAATACAGTAAGCATGTTAAAAGTGCTTAATGAATGACTAATAAAAAAAAATTAATTAGGAAAAAAAAGGCTCACAATCTCTGTGGGTAACTCTAATATATAAAAGTAGTGTTTTTTCAAAGTTATATTTCATTCTCCTGTCATGTATTGATTAGCAAGTATCTGAAATTGTTTGATATGTGGATTATCTTGTCTCTTGCTTTCCTCTTCCTGTCATCTGCTGCACATCACTGGACTCTTTCACAATAACCATTCCAGTTAGTATGTAATCATAATGGAAAATCAAAGCAGCTCTCTTTAATACTAGCTTCAGTTTGGTACAGAGAAAGTTAAAAGCACTGGTTAAAAAATGTTTTCTAATTACAAATGAAGTTCATTTTTCATGACATCTCATCCTTTTTTTGTTGTTTTTTTTTTGTGGTCAAAGATCGGATCAAAAATAGCAGACTGCACATGTCAAGAAAATAGCTATAGACTGTTATTTTTTTTAAATTTTTAATCCATTAATAAATGGGAATTTTAACCATTACCACACACATACACACACACACACACACACACACGTGTGCACGTGTGTGTGTGTGTGTGTGTGTGTGTGTGTATGACATCTAATATTTACATAGCTCTACAAGGTTTGCAAAATGCTTTACCAATATCATTGTAACTACACAACAAGCCTGGGAGGTTAATACTATTATTATCCCCATTTTACAAATGAAAAAACTGAGATAGACAAAGCTTTGTTAAGTGACTTGCCTAACATCACACAACTACTCAATGTTTGAGAACAGATTTGAACTAAGGTCTTCCTGACTGAAGGTCCACCATGCTAACCACAGTACCTTCTATAAAAACCTCCAGGCATATTATTATTATGAAATGCAATGAGCACCAAACTACGATATAGACATTAATGATAGGCAGCCATAGCATAGTGGATATACAGATGGATTTAGTTAGGAAGACCCAGGTCTAAGATTCATCTCTACTACATACCAGCAAAGTGCCCATGGAGAAATCACTTACCCTAAAAGTATCCCAGAAATCTTTCTAAGATTATAAATTACAAAACAGATGCAAAACTGTACTGCTATAAAGAGCTTCCACATAAAGGAGTTTCTCATACAAATGAAATAATAAGTTAATCTCACTTTCTCCCAAAAAATACATGACAATTTTAAAAATGTAGAAAATAAAAACAAAAATTTAGAAAATCCTTTTTTTCTTTTTAATTACTCAACCATTTGAAATATTAATTTTCATTCTCTTTAATTTGTTACCATATTGATCTTATTATGATCTTTCCAAAAATACTGGCCATAAAATCTTATACGTACACACACACAATTATATTCTGAAAAATAATACCAATTATAGATAACACTCAAATTTTCTATAAGTTGGATTTAGGAAAGAGTCAAGAAATTTTATCATTTGACTAATGTGGGAGGTATGTGTTTTTACTCCTTTTCAATATCGTTGAGCCTACTCATATTTTTTAAAAAGTCCTTAAGACTACATATAAGGTAAAACAGACTTACCTTTTATGATCATTGTACCTTTCATTCAGACTGTCCCACTTTTCTTTCAACTGGGTCAGTCCATCCTCAATCTGAATAGCTTCAGGACTAGAGACATCAAGTATAATATCGGGCTGCTTCTCATGAAGAGTTGCAATCTGTTCACCGACTTTGTCCAGGAGATCAATGATGTTCTATTAAAAAAATGTTCAAAAGACACCCGGGTTTGAATACCACCTCTAACAATTATTATATTGGCTGTATGTCCATGGACAAGTCATTTAACCTCTCAAGCCTCAGTCTCCTCAACTATGAGATCAGAATAATAACTGCAGCACCTACTTCACAGGACTATTTGAAGATCAAATGAAATAATGTACATAAACTGCATTGCAAGTTTTAAAGTACTATAGAAGTGTTGACTATTATAGTATATTACAATAGCTTTCTCTTTACATATGTAGATATCATATAGACTTATTAAAAATTAAGCTCCTTAGTATCTATGTTATTTTTCATCTTTGTATCTTCAAGATCTAGCACAGTCTCCTGCATATTGTACATTCATAATAAATGTTGAACAGTGTTTCCCATTATGGCAAGCCACTTAAAAGTCTCCAAGAAATTTTCCTGTATACATCTTATATCTATATTCTGAATATACCTCCCCAATTCATACTTTATATATGCCATCTGTACATAATTGTTTGCAAGTTATCTATCATATTAGACTGTGAGTTCCTTGAGAAGAGTGACTGTTTTTTATCTTTCTTTATATTCTCAGAGTTAAGTAAATGCCGGGCACACAGAAGGCATTAATGACGCTAATTGACTGCTTGAATACTCTGTGCGTAAAGAGGCCAATTATATTAATTTCTGATAAATAATTTCTCAGTTCTTTGGGGTATTATCAGGATCAAATTATTACCTAGCAATGTTTTCATTTTCATCTTAATTTTAGTATAACTCAAATGGATAAACTAGAATTCAAAACAGGTGGAGAAATTAAAAACACAGTAGCAGAACAAAGGAATGATCATATCAATTCCAAAGTATAATATCAATAAGGTGGCAGCAATTGGAAAATAGCATGGCCATTGTATAAAGTGATTGTTTTGCTTTATTCTTAGTGGAAATTGCATGTTATTATTAGTGTTTACGTTAAGGCTTTGTAAGTCTTCATAAATTATTAGGTGGGCTTTGGTTAGGTATTTCCTTGAGTGATGGGGTGGCAAACAGCTCAATTTCTTAAAAAAGGGTGGGGGGGGGCGCGGTTAGAACCATAAGCTGATCCAGATCAAGTGTCTGAAAGTACAACTTGACAGAAAATGCGAGAACAGAGGTCACTTCTAAAGGCATAAGAGAAAGGACATTGGCTTCAGATACTGCAAGAAGACACATATTAGGCCAGACTCTTTCCAGAAGAATCAAGGCATTTAATGAACTATAGTAGCACTATTCAGTTTGAAATGGGGACAATGTTAACCACTATAAGTTATAAAGGCTACTTATATCTGGATGCAGGCTGCCTGAGAATAAATCTTACAAGCTCTGCCAGTTCATTGGTTTTTTGTTCTGTGAATTGGAAGTTCTTTAAAAAAAAAAAATTCATTTCCCCTCTGTCCCCCAGGTGCTGGTAAAATACTTTATTTAGAAACGAAACCTGCTGCTTAGGTCAACTGAGGAGAAAAAAGATTTGCCACATCTAGGTCAAGAAACCTGGCAGGATTTAGAGTGTCACCAGAGGTCATGCTAGGACAGCTGGCAGTAGCACAAGGGAAAAGGGACCATTATACCCATAGCTGATGGATACTAACTTAAATTGTAAACATAAAGAAAATATCAGCCAGGACGCTCTGAAGTTCAGCTGTTTAAGCATAATCCACAACTGTCCTGTCTGGGGTTTTCACTTCACTAAACAAGATATCAACCATTGGGGTATGACCAACGTTCAACACCAACTCAACCAGCACAATACCTCACAATACCAAAAAGGTATCAATATTGTTCTACTGGAGCATATAGAATTGAACATATCATATTTGAGCAATATAAAATTAAACTGTTTCTTCAATTAGGGTATACCCAATGAATAACAACAATATCTGGCTAAATGGAGTTTCAGAAAATCATAGACAGTTATTAAAATGAACAGGGTATAAAAATAACCACTTTCAAATGGAAAAGCTAGATACAGGACTAAGGCTGAGTCACAGCTCTATGATACAGCATAAATGTAGATATACATAGAGAAGCATGACACAGTCATTTGTCATTTGAGGTTACCTCTGAGTCCTATTTCACTAAATAGGAAACTGTGCCAAATCCACCAGCAAAATCAAAGCAATCAACACACTGCTTCCAATGGGGAGAAAATAGGGTAACCAACCACTATCTCTTCTTGACGGTTCTCTAAAATCAGTTTTCTATTATAATATCTCAAAAAGCCCAAGGACAATTATGAAACTGTGGCCTAAGTTTCAGAGGGTTTTGGGTTCTGGTTTTGGCTTAGCAATTCATTCATTTTGGTGTTACAATCGTATGTCACACTTAATTCTTCTTCCAAAAACTAAATAAATAAAGTTATAGAGTCAGCAGCTTCAGCCTTATGACAATGCTGTCCTCAAAGTTATGCTTTGGGATCATGTTATATTGGGTAACCATGCAACAGAGTTAGAAAAGAGGCAGTTTCAATTAAAAACAAAAAACAAACAAACAAGCCCTTAACTAAGGCAAAGATGACTTCTTAGATTAAATCCAACAGTATCTAATCATAACAATGTTCTAGTCTAATACAAAAAAGCAGAAAGCATTCCAAAAAATAGGAATTATAGCATAGTTAGTTCTGATACTACAAAGAGAAGCCATATGGCATAGTGGATAGACAGCCTTACTGAGTGTTAGGAAGACTTGGGTTCAAGTCTCACTTTGGATATAGATTAGCTGTGTAAAGTTGGAAAAGTCACTTAAAAGCTCTCATATTCTCTGGAAACTCCCAAAGACTTAAAGTTTCAAAACTGGTATTGATTTGCATTGCAGAGTCAGTTTCTTCACTCAAAGTTCCCCACGCCAATACAATCATTATTCTTCCCTCCCCTCCCCCAACTCTCACAAAAATAGTACAAATACTAACAGAAATAGTAGCAGGTAGAAGAATACAGAAAGAAGCAACTGTAGTTATTAACCTTAGGGGCCCCATTGAAAGGCACTACTGGGAAGCACTATTATTCTTAAAGGAGGTCATAATATATACAAAGCATAAAAGGAATGAATAAATGGGAGTGAGTATTAAGAAGGAATCAAATGACTGATCAATGTGGAATTATGCTTTTATATATTCAGCCATATGAAATCATTAATGTTTGTTTTTAAAACATAGATAACATTACCATTCATGGGGCTAGGAGGGAAGCATAGTATATACCATTTAAAAACTGAGTAAAATAAAAAATACAACAAAATCATAAATAAAGGAAATAGAGTAAAATGATCAATTATTGGTAAAGAATAATACTCAATGGAATTAAGATAGATGTCCACATACATTTATGCTATATATGAACATAGTATATGTGATATATAGAGACACATAAAAATGATTGAGGCAACAGTTAACATGCTATCTTACCTCATCAATGGGATGGTTTATATATGCAACCTTTGCTCAGTACTTTAATACACTGAATTTTGGAGATTAGGTTAAGAAATCTTTGTGATGGAAGAATGCTTATAATTTGTTTAAATATTAATGTAATCATCTCTAGTATACCACATTGCAGTAAATACGAGATTAGAAATTGGGAGGTATGGATTCCAGACTTGGTATGGGCTAAATAAACTCTTAAGTTTCCTTCCAAGCCTATATTCCATGACTAAAAAACCTGTGAAGATCTTGCTTTGAAATTATAATTTTCCACATGATGTGCTATTGAAGGCTAACAGTATAAAAACTAATACATTTCACTCTAGTTCCTGCTGTTATAAATGTATTCCCTAGTCATTTCTTCACCATGCAGTTTGGGCTATGACCACTGTTTTCATTTCTCCCCTGTAATCCCTCCATAAGAAACTTGGATTCCATCCCCAGAAAACCCAGTTCAGATGGGCAAAGTTTTTGTATGAATTTCCCCAGAACAAGGTTTCCACACAGATTTCCAAACATCTCCTCAAAAAGCTACTACATGCCCCTCACGCAACATACACATAATTTTTTCTCTTCCTCTTTATATGTTGTCTTCTCTTATTAGTGTTCAGGTTGCTTGAGGGCAGGGATTGCCCCACTTATTTTTATGTCTCCCCAGCACTTAGCACTTAACAGCCTAGAATATAATGAGTGTTTAATAAATGCCTTACTATCATTATAGCTCTGAATACTTCATGTTGGTTATTTGACCGTCAATTCATCTCTCTTGGTTTCAGTTTCCTCATCTATAAAATAGTGATAGGATACCTCATAAGATTATTGTAGTAATCCAATTAGATTGTATATGTAAAATGTTTTATAGATCTTAAAGTGTCCTAAAAATTTTAGCTATAATCATTATCCACAATTACTGCTGCTTTTGTCAGTACATGAAAAACAGAACAGTAATTTCAAGATACCATAAATTCATTAAAGAAACATGAAAATTCTTAAAGAATATTTTTTTCTATTTTTTATAAAAAGTAAAAAACCTTAAAATGTTTCTAAAGTATCCATACAAAAATATCCCTAAGGTGTTATCCAAATAACCATCAAACCTGAAATTATGGTAGTTAATATTATATATGACATTATGTATCAACTGACTACACCAAATGCATTTATCAGAGAAATAGTTTTGATGGAATATAGCCACTGCCTCCAGCCCCAGTATTCCAATTTCTTCATATGCCTCACTAGAACAGCAGGTGTGTCCATTATCTCAACCACATACCACATCTATCTAGTCTCACACAGGGCCACAATAGCCAGCCAATAAAAAAACAGCACCCAACAGGATACTGAGCAGGATATTTGACCACTAGATCACAGCCTAAGTGGACACCTGAGCAGTAACAGCAAAGAACTGTCCCTCGGTAAACTTATGACATAGAGAGACTTATTATAATACCATTATAATATATTAATACCCCACAGTGGGCTTTTCTGTATGCATTCTGGGTAACCACATGCAGAGTTCTAAGGCAAAAACTCCTGCCCATATCAATCACCCCATCCTACATTTTAATATTCATATATTAATGTAATGATGTAATTGCATCTTTTGCTCTATACAAATCCTTGTCTTGCTTTGCTAAGTTGCTGGTTCCTCTACAGAGTCTAGCCTACTTGTTAAGAGCATAATCCTCAATAAATGACTTTGCTTGGGTTGTAGATAGTCTGAGACTGTGAATTCTTTCAAGACAACCCCACAACACAACTTGAAATGCCACAATGTTTTTGGTGCCCAATATAAGATGGAGTCTCTGATGCTGGTCCCCTCCAATCAAAGATAAGCCTTTCCCTTTCTCTCTCTTAGCTGAGGTCCCTCAAATACTTAGGAAGGCTTGAACGGACAGTTGGTTCCTAGCGCACATGGGCAAATTCCCTTTTGGGAACTTTGTGGTGAGCAATTTCCCTCTAGATGGAGGATACTCTGTTTGGGAACTTTACAGTCAGTTCTCTAAGCTCATTTTTACCCATCTCTGAGGGACACCATATGCCTGGGTGAGTGATGGCTATAGAGAGGACTTCTTTAGGCTTACCACATCAGTTCCCCCACCCCACCACTGCCCAATCCCCCAGGACTCCCCACTAGGCAGTCTGCTGCAAAATTGGAACAAATTCAACTTAGAAGAGCTAAAAAAAAAAAAAAAAGACATTTCCTATTTTTCTGTAATAGACCCTGGCCTCAATACAATCTAAGGGACCAAGAAAAGTGATTTGTGAAGGGAATTTCTAACAAGCCTCTGTGAGCTTTTGTACTTCTCTCCCTCTTATTGTCATTATCTGTGCATTCTATTTGTATTTTTTATGTTAATCTGCTCTCTGTTTGCATCTCTGTATGGTATGAATGTCTGAGTCTGCTACCTCATAAGATTTAAAATACATCCAGTCGGGGAAAAAAAAAACAACCTCTAAGGGCTGAAAGTGTGAATAGAGGGTTTGAGAGGAAACAGCTTGGAAACTGTTGGAAAGAAAAAGCTATTGGTAAAAATTTTCTTACTCTCTTTCTACATTCCTGAACAATGGCTAAGTTCTGGGGTATGGAGAGACAGATAACAAAAAAAGAAAAGGGAACCTTTTCCCCTTCAACATTTTTATGAAAAATTTTCTTTCTATACCTTTATATCACTGAACTGTGGCCAGGTGCTGGGGTATGGAGGGACAGACAAGAAAAAAGGAAAAAGGAACCTTTTACCCTCACATCTAAGTGAAGAAGGTCATTTCACTAATTAAAGAGAGGAAGGTTTGGGGTGGTACCAGTGAAAGTTTCAAGACTGCATTTTGGAATAGAACAATTACTTAACCCTTTCCTGACTCACAAAAAGATAATCAGGACAAAACCAAAAGGTAATTTAGTTTTATTGGAATGTCTACCTAGAATTTAGGGAGTCTTATGAACAAAAGTTAAGTATTGGTTAAATTTAAAATTACTTTTTAAATTGTCATGTGTATTAAAATTGGAAACTTGACCAAATTATATGAGAATCCTATTCATTTTAAGAAATCATAGAGAGCTTTGGGTAAATTAATAAACTATGGGTTCCTTTCAAGATTGTGGAACCCAGATTTGAACTAAATTAAAACATGCTCTTAAGTGTGATAATTGGGGTAGATTAAATCTTAACATCAGAGTGGATTGGCTGGAACTAGTGGACACTATGTAATGTGAAACATTTGGAATAAGTAGCATTTGTGTAAAATATAATATTACAGTGAGCATTAAAATCATAATCTCAGATTCTGTGTAATACCATTTGGAACATAAATCCAGGTAATGAAATTCATCCTAGTCATATTTTAAGAGAAATATTGTTTTTCCTAATTTGATGTTTAAGATAAGTCAGAATTCATTATACTATTTGGCACTAAGGTAAATTTGGGAAAATGCATAGATCTGAAATTTGTTAAATGAGTGACCTTAAACATTACATCAGTTTACTTCACTTGAGTGTAAAGAGCATAACACAATGCCTCGGAGAGGGCAGACACTATAAATGTTAACTAATATTATTAGCTCTTTGATTAGATGTCACCAGTATACAATGCCAATGGTGATGATGATGTCCAATTTTCTGTTTAAGGTAATTTAGAATTGCATTCAATAATTTTGTAGTCACCTAATCAGTAACAGGTTTGTTTCAAGTTTCAAATACATTATATTGTTTCAAATTGGTAAACTTTTGTATTTGCTACGGAAAGTATGTGGTTTTCATCAGTCTAGAGGAAGAATTATCACGGGGTGGACAGGTAGCCCCATCTCTGTGGTCCTTGTCCATTCCCCTTATTTTGTAAACTTGCCAGATTCCTAGAAACTACCTGGGTGGGGAAGGTCATCACCCCTGGAAAAGAGCTTATTTGGCTTATACAGTTCCTATAATTCCTCGTTGCTGAGAATTTCCAAATTTACGTATAGTACAGAAATGATTTCTAATGATTGGTCTTTATACCAGGATAAATTTAAATTTAAGAAGGAAAGAAAAACAAATGAAAGATGTTAAGTGAAATTTCTTATGTGTAAAAGTTATGGTAAATTTTTATTGCTTATTGCAACTCCATAAGAGTAAAAAATAATTGTATCCAGCACTAAGCTGTGATTGCTGAAAGTTTTTCATTTAAGGTAAAAGCTTACCTATTTAAGGTAAAAGCTCTTTGGCCTGTAACTGATTTTGTTTTGAGTTTCAATTTAGGTATAGTTGTCTGCATTAAATCAGTAATTCATCATCTGAGTGAAATGCCACAAGCTACTCAGAGGGAATGTGATACTGAACTATTACAGGTAGAGGTTTGCTTCTGGGAAAAGCCAAGAGGATAACCTTGGCATCGGCCTAGGCAGGCTCAGTTTCCCTACTGTGTTCCTTTGAAAAGGAATGTTTCCCAAATTGACTATTTCCAAGTCTGGCTGAGGTAGAATTGTTACTGCATAGTTGATAAACTGTGACTTTTTCCTGTGATATCTGGTATAATCATGTCCCTGCTTTATCCTTTTCTAGCAAATTTCTACAGTCAGAGCAAGTGATCAGCAAAAGATATGAGCATATATGTTTTGATCTGAATTTACAGTCATTCCATGGCCTAAGCAAGACTTGTGAGGTTAAAATCAGGAAACTCCATTGTTTTTGTTTAAGGAAAAGGATTTTCAGAACAGCTAAAGATAAAATAAGGTCCTTAAATATTTCAAAATGACATAAGAATAATTGGGTATTGGTACAATTGATTGAGGGAGCTAGATGTTATTCTATTAATTACTGAAACTAAATCAGAAACATCTTTAGTTTGGTTTGGGAAAGAGAATTTCAGTGAAATCAATTTTCTTAAAGGGAGGTAACCTATTGAATATTTTTTGAATATTTTGTGTTACATTAATGAAAAAGTCAATTGTATTACAAACATGTTCTATTAAAAACAATTTATTGATATGCACTGTTTTGGAATTAATTATTTAAGTATTCTCTCAGTTTTTTATTGTAAGTGGAGTAAATTTAGCCTTTTATAAGTAAATTTATTTGTGTAATTACTGAACCCAGGGGTGAAAAGCTTCTGCCTGCAAGAGTGTTGTTATTTATATTTTCATGTATAGGGTTGAATCCTCAATAGTATCTTATCCTCCTAAAGGAATTGGAATCAGAGTGGAAACTTTTGAGAAAGTAAATGATTCTAATAGGGCTCTTAGTTTCTCCTTATATTCGGGCACTGCATATTGAATTTGCTAGTCAGATTTGTGTTTTCCAGATGACAGGTCACTCACCTACAGTTAGGCAAACAGTGAATACCAGTCCATACCCACCCATGTTCCCCAAATGTATCCTATTTTCAGTTTTGGTCAACCTCTCCTCTGAGACCCATTGAGGCAGGGACACCTTTATACTCCTTTTCAGCCTGAAGAAGCTACAGAAGCTGAGACCTTTGTCCCTTTTCCCAAACGAATTTGAGTCCCAGCTCTTTGGGAGTAGAATGATGGAATCTAGCCACTGCACCCAGCCCCAATATCCCAACTTCCTCATATGCCTCACTACCTCTCTAGAACAGTAGGTGTGTCCATTACCTCAACTACATACCATATCCATCTAGTTTCAAATAGGATCACAATAGCCAGCCAATAATAAAGCAGCACCTACAGGATACTGAGCAGAATGTCTGATGACTAAATTCACAGCCTAAGTGGAAACCTGTGTAGTAACAGCAAAGAACTGTCCTTAGGTGAACTTATAACATAGAAAGACTTATTATAATATCATTATAGTACATTAATACCTCCCCAGTGGGCTTTTCTGTATGCATTCTAGGTAACTACATATGCAATTCCACCAAGGTTAAGACCCCTGCCCATATCAATCAACCCATCCTATATTTTAATATTCATATATTCTGCAATGATATGATTGCATTTTTTTGCTCTATAAAAATCCCTGTCTTGCTTTGCTAAGTTGGTGGTTCCTCTAAGAAGCCTAGCCTGCTTGTTGAGAGCATAATCCTCAATAAATGCCTTTGCTTGGGTTGGAGATGGTCTGAGTCTGTGAACTCTTTCAAGACTAACCCACGACACACCTTGAAACACCATGACACTTTCATAACGTCCATAAATTTGCAAAGCTTTGCAAAGTTTGTGTACATAAACAATATCAATTTTATCTATGAAACTTTAAGAAGCATAATGATATTTAACCCAGGAGAGATATGAAAAAAAAAGAGATATGAAAAAGACAGGTTTGTTATACCATTGATTTTTTTGGTGCTATTTTACTTTGCCACAGATCAAATAATACATGGTCATTGAAACAAATTGCTATCTCAATATATCATTTTACTGCTCCTCTTTAAATATAATGTTGACATTTACCTTCAGTGAATCTTCCTGCACAGAAAAGTGTTCATAGATCCCACTGTTGAGGTTTGAAGAATTGAATAATAGTTCTACATCTGCCAGGGAGAGTAAAACTTTGTTAATTTCAACAAGGTAATCAGCAGGGAGAAGTGTTGATGTAATTCCAGATGGATACTGATGATCAACTGTTACACTCTGCTGAATGGAAGGTGCCTGCAGAAACAAAAGAAATATATTAAATGCATACTAATCTAAAGGAACAACATTGCATAAATAGTATGCTCCAATCAAGCAACAAAAAAAGCACTTTTAAGTTACTACTATGTGGTACTCATTGTGCAAAGTGCACAAAATAAAAAATAAAATAAAACAAACTATGTTCTCAAGAAGCTTACATTCTATCAAACCAAAGTATTGTTGCAAAATACATTAACAATTTATAAAACACTATATTTACCAAAAGCAAATGTTAGAAATATAGTCCTATTGATGAAACAAAACTGTACACAGATACCCTAATATAGTATTAAAAATTTGCACTATTGCAAACTTCTAGCAATCTTATTTGAGTATTTATTTGAAATAGACTACAAACATTATTATAATGATCAATCAATGAAGTACATTTGGAAAGGAACATTTGCTTCCTTGTTTTCCATCTTTAACCCAAGCTATAACACTTCTTAATCCCTCCACTAATACTTTGCCAAACTATAAAGAGCTTTAGTATGTTTTAGATGAATTCTTAAATACAGTTCTTTAGAAATTACTACAAAAGAGAAGTCAAGAATGGTAAATTATAGTTTTAACTTTCCTAGTTACAGTTCTCCCCTCAAATAACCTCTCATTTGATGTCAGCATCATACAAATAAAATCTGGATGAAAAGACTATTGGGTTGGTGTTTCTTCTTTAAAAAAGTGCTTCTCAGCTAATGGAAATCTCCCCTATGTACTTCTATGGTTCATCAAGAAACTCTGAGGTTCAATAATATTTAGTATATGGATCTGATAAGGTCTCTAACACAAAGAATGCTAAATTTAACTTTCCAGTGGATTCCGACAACTGCCTTTCCTTTTTCTTGCCTCCAGCGATTTATAACTTAAATTTTAAAGATTAAAAGAAAACTCTGTATGACATCTAAACAACACTGACAATTTGTAACATAATACATTCTCATCAACTGAGTACTGGTTTAGTTTAAATTGAAAACGTATGGATTTATACTGGCTCTAAATGAAGTGCAGTAGCAAGACAGAAGTAGAAGATAAAATCAATTCCATATCATCTTTCCATCTGTACCTACTCCTCTCCTAAACAGTCTCACAGGAGTTGGCAAACTATGGTCTCTAGACCAAATCCAACCTAGTGCTTGTTTTTATATGGTCTGCAAGCAAACCATTGTTAGAGAGCAGGTTGCAAAAAACAAAAAACAAAAAAACAGGCTGGATTTGGACTTCAGGCAATAGTTTGCCCAATCCTGGTAAATATTCTGCCAGCACACCATTCAAAGTCATCTTCTGACCCTTCTTCACTTCTATGCATTAGTGAACACAATCCCCTGATGCCAAGAAAATCTTAACCAACACCTTTACCTGCTGAAACCCTTACCTTACATTAAAGCTATGCTCAAATACCATCTTTTCATGAAGTCTTCCCATCCCCCAATAGCTCAAAATTACTCTATTTGGACAGTGAAGGACCAGAGCCCAACTTTCCACAAAAACACCAAGTCACAAACTAGGCAGAAAAAAGTGAACAAAAAAAAAGGAGGGGGGAATAACTTAACTATAGAAAGTTACTACGGTGACAGGAAACATCAAGGCACAAACTTAGAAGAGGACAATAGTGTAAAGATGGCTCCATATAAAAGCTTAAAGAAAAATGTAATTGGGTCTCAGGTCCAAAAAGAACTCCTGGAAGAGCTTAAAAAGAATCTTAAAAAGCAAACTAGAGATGTAAAAGAAAAAATTTCTTTCTTTCCTTTTCTTCTTTCTCTTTTCCCTTTTTCCTTTTCTTTCCTTTCCTCTCCTTCTCCTTTCCCATTTTTCCTTTCTTTTCCTTCCTTTTCCTTCCTCTCCCTTCCTTTCCCTTCCTCTCCCTCTGTCTACACAGGCTATCATATCCTTACCTTTGGGTACAATGCCCAAAGCAAGAAAATTGGTATCCCTGACACCTGAAAAGGGTTTATAGACTAGATTTCTTTCTTAAGAACCAGGCTTTATACCCACATCACTATGGGTATACTCATATCGATGACCCAACAATGGGGCCCCACCTGGTCACTGGTTGGTTGGACCCTGACAACAACTCAGAATGAATATAAACAGCAACTGTATCTGTATACAGATATCTGTAACTGACCACTTCCAGTTGGAGAAAGCAGCTTTTTCCTTCTCCTCCTTCTCCTTTCCCTTTCCCCTTTTTCCTTTCCTTTCATTCTCTTTTCCCTTTCTTCCCTTCCCTTCCTCTCTCTCTCTCTACGTAGGGTATCATACCCTTCCTTTTGGGCATGATGCACAAAGCAAAGGAAATTGGGAGAAAAGAAATTGTTATCCCTGAAATTGAAGATAATTTCAAGTGAAATTTTCACCATTCTCTCCCAAAGGCCCAGTTATATCCCAGTTATGTATTAAGTAAGTATGTATATATGTATGTAGGCGAATGTGTGACTATAATACATACATACATATGTATAAAAGTAAATCATAATTTTATTTAGTAGGTCTTCTTGAGTTATCTGGAGAATTTTCTCTTCTTCAACTGATAGCAGAGCATAAGGCACAATTCCCTTCATAGAAGTCCTTTTGCTTATGCTCACCATGAGCATGACAATTCACAAGTGGTCCCTAAAAATGTTTTTTCTTCCTTCTGTTACATGATAAAATCAACCTCATAAAACTCCTATCTGCCTTAATCCAGAAAACCTGTGAGCCATTCTTTCATTTATGTACAATTTCCATGCATCCTTAGATGTCAATTATATTAAGAATGTAAAACTAGATATGATTCATTCCTTCAATACTATGTTTATATACACAACAAAAGTGTCAAAATAACATTAAAAAATTATATATGATGGCAACTGTAACAAAAAAAATAACAAAATCTTAGCTAACTACTCAAATTCTGATCTATAACCAACTCCAGAAATGTAAACCTTTCATAGTTCATAGCTTGCCTTGAAAGTACTTAAGGTTTTCTATCCCAGATTTTCCCAACTTTTTTCCCATAGTGCCCTCCTTCACACACTCTATACTCAAACCAAACTAGACAACCAGATAATCAATTCCATCCTACCATTTATTCATTCACATAGGGCACCTCAGCTTATAGAAATCCTTCATGGATGAGATCAAGTACCTGCCCATGAAGCAATTTCTGATAATGAAAATACTCTCTGCTTCCTTGAATTTTCTTATATCACATCAGATGTTTCCTTTTTCTGTATCCAAGTTCTATAAACATGAGATAAATTTTCCAGAGGTTATACCTTGACATTATTATGTCTTGTCCTCAGCAGTAGTAACTGTAAACGTATCTCTTCTCTCTTGTTATCCTCCATGGGGTGCTGTAATATCTGTTCTCCTCTCTGCAAAACTTCCTCAATCTGGGCCTTCTCCTCATCCAACTGAAAATATAAACAGAAAAAAATGTCAATAATTCACTTAGATACCTCTTCAGCGATGTATATTTCTTAATTAGAAGGAACGTGTCCATCCTGATGAATTTCTATAAATGAAGCAAAATAACCCATTAAAAATTTAAAATAGCTTTTTTTATTTTAAAAAATTACATTGTTTATGTTTAATATGACTGTACAGGCACAGCCTAAATCAGATTGTTTTCTGTCTTGGGGAGGAGGGAGAAAAAAAATTGGAACTAAAAATTTTATAAAAGTAAATGTTGAAAACTATCTTTACATATAATTGCCAAAAAAAAATACGATTAAGTAAAAAAAATTTTTTAAATTATATTATTCCCTAAAATGTTTTAAATCCTATGGGATCTTTTGAAAATAATTCTTGCAATTTCAATAGGGAATCTCCAATGAAGAAATTACCTCTATCAATTCAGGTCAGCACCTACTCTGCAAAAGCTATCTGAAACAAGGAAAGTGACTTGTCCAGGATAAAAATCTAAGTGTATGTCAGAGGCAGGACCAGAACCTAGGCCTTCTTAGTTCAACTGCATCAGCAGTCTATCGTACTGTCTCTCTAAATTATATGTTAAAATAGCTTAAAATTTAAACCATGCTAATCTTTAGTTAATTCTCCTTAAAAATTTAACTCTCTTAGAAGCATTATATAAATCATTTGGCAATTGCTACATCTAAACACAACATCAAAATCTCATCTTAAAATTCTCCACCACAAGTGGCAGGGTATTTTTGGGGGGAGGGCCAGGCAATCAGAGTTAAGTGACTTATTCAAGTCACACAGGTAGTAAGTGTCAAGTGTCTGAGGCCACATTTCAACTCAGGTCCTCCTAACTCTAGGGTCAATGATCTATCCACCTAGCTGCTTGCCCAAGGCAGGGGATTTAAGGCAAATATTCACAGAAAAAATGAGGTGAATTATACCTTTTCATCTTCATCACTGTGCTTTTCTACCATCTTCAACATATTTTGTAAATCATGTTCTAGTTTTTCTAGGTCCACTGAATGCACACCAGCCTCAAGAGGTTGTGATTTGACAAAAATTTTCTTTGAGAAAAGTTCTTGATCGATTAACATCTAGAGAAGAGAACAAAAAAGAAAGTATAGCTAAGGACAGGTAAACCAAAAATAGAACATTAACTAAAGTCAAATGACCACAGCTAAATGGAATAAGCAAATAAGGTAAAACCAGATTTCGATAATCAATCAATCAGCTCGAGCAGACATTGTTCATGATTTTATTATGGTTTTATACATTTGGAAATCCTTTTAAAGATATGGTGATTTTAACTTCATTCATGTTTCATAGGAATATGGGTAAAGAGGTGACACAAAGCCACACGTTGGATGACAATCTAGCAAAGACACTAACTCCTTGGCATAAGCTACTCTCATACCAGATATTAAAAACTAAATCTCTGTAACACTGTATTTTAATGCCTTGTACAAGATCTTTAATAGTTACAAAAATGCCTTTTAGTGTCTCAGAAATGCAAGGGACTGAATTATTGCCCAAAAACACTAGCTCAAGACTTTACTGATTATGTAATAAAGCTATAGGATCCTTGAAGAAAGAGAGAAGACTGCCTGAAATTGACATTTACCTAAAATCTCCCTGGAGCTGTTGCTTCAGTTGAAGTTTTTATGTCTCAGAAAATTGTTAAAATTATATTTATGTCCAATTGATGGCTAAAGTATCATAGAACAAGTGAGCACTAAGTATTTCTTCAGTGAATTATTATGTGATAGGCAACATAATTTTCCTACATATTTCTCTAAACTAAACCTTTTGCTTCCACTTGTAAGAAGTAAATAAATGAAATAATGAATCTATGGGCATACCACACACTTTTTTCATTGTCCCCTTCTAGTCCCCTCTCTGACTTTTTGGGTCAAGGGCCTTTAAATAATAAAATGATTCCATTTGCTCCATTTTTAACAGAAAATAAAAACAAAATGTACATTTCTGCTTTAGGCCTACCTACACTATTAGGTTTATGTAAATTAAATAAATGTTCTTAAGTTAAACAGGAAGAAAGTGAATGTGTCTCTATACACACAGAGTGTATGAAGCCAACATCACAAGATTAGTTCTTCCTTGTGGCTTAGGAACCAGTATCTTACAATGCTTCAAGAACTGGAGGAAGGTATTCCCAGAGTAGTTACAAGCATAATCAAACACATAGAGGAAGGAAAGTACAGGATACAACCAGAGCAGGGGTTCTTAACCATTTTTGTGCAAGGGTTCCCTTTTGTAAATAATGCTTTAATACATAAAATAAAATACAAAGGAATAAAAGAGAAACCAGTTTTACTGAATAAGTTATCAAGATACTAACAAAACAAGTTTAAGGACCCAGGCTAAGAACTCTACATTTAGAGGAAGAATGGCCAACAGTTTAGTCTGGGTCGGGCATGTAGTGATGGAGAACAAATAGAATAAAATAAGGCTAGACAGATAAGTTTTAATCCAATGGTGAAGAGCCTTAAACATCAGTTTCAATGACTTTGAATTTATCCAGGAGGCAAAAGGCAATCATTGAGTATTTTTTGAGCAATGGAGTTATGTGATCACATCTGTGCACTAGTAAGGTTAATCTCATATAGATGTTTCAGTTAAACTAGAGTGAGTAGAGACTAGAGAATTAGAGACTGAGTCACAGGATAATGCAAGAGTCACTGAGGGTAAAAGGTGACAGTGGTAAAAACTAAAGTGGTGAAGGTAGTAGAAACAGTAAATAAGGAACTGAGTTAAAAGGTTATATTTGGATATTACATTATGACGTGACTTGTTATATATGACAATTGACGTGAGTTGATGGTTTATTAGCTACATGGAGATATGTGATGGAGTTTCAACAAATGTGAATAAATAGTAATGAGGGTGGTTATTTGTAAGAATAGGGATGGTACAGACAGAAATGAGGATATCAAGAAAGAGAACTGGTCAAAATGAAAGATAATGCATGCAATTTTAGAAACAATGATCTTAAGGTACCCATGATACATTCAGTTAGAGTTATCCAAGTAGGGGGTTAAAAAAGTGAGTCTTAGCAGAGGAGCATGTAAAGAATTCTTAAGTGCTACCAATTTGTAAGCTATCCATGTAGACATCATACTTGAAGTTCTAAAAACTGATGAGATCACAAAGAGCTGAAGGTAAAGAAAATATGGCCAACCAATCCTAGGCATGGGAAAAAGAGGTAAAGAAACAGAAAAGAAGGGTTAGGGATGTAGTATACCTCTGCTTTACACTAAGTACTCACTTTAGCACTTTTGATGTGTTGAGACACTTTGTCAAAGTTTCTATTTAATTCAGCTAACTTTGGCTCCACCAGCTCACTGCTTGCCAAGCCCCGGGCACCCATCAGTATAATGGCTTGGTCACGAACGTTTTCAACTTGTAGATTAACATCATCCAGTTCAGATGTTAATCGCTAAGCATAAAAAAACACAAAATTACCACAAGTACAGGAAATAATGCAGCATAACCCAATCAAAATATGGATCTGACTCTATTCAAAGATAAGATACTCTAAATATGTTAAATGCCTATCTAAATAAAACACTGGCACTACAGTTAATTTGATTAATGAATCTAGATAGAGGGGTTGAGGTGGAGAAGAGGGGGGAGGAGAGAATTGGGTTATGGGGTTGAGGCTTTTCAAATCCTTCCCAGATTGTACCACCTTTGCATCTCTCACTAAAATTAAAATTCAAAAACAAAAGATGGGATAATACAATGTTTACAAACAGCAAGATTCTGAGCCCAAAGAAATAAAGTACATATTAGAAATGTCACTGATGATCTTAGGCATACTTTCACAATTTCTTCACTCTTATTTACAGGCTTCTTTTCAATCTCATCCAGCAGAGCTTCAGCTTGGTAAAGCCAAGTACTTATATGAGCAACATTTCCATCAAATATCTCCAGCTGTTTCTGATGGTTCTGAAAAAAAAAAAATTTTTTTTTAAACAAACACACTAAGTGTTCTTTGAGATGCACTTTGAGAAATACTTAAATAACCATGAAACAATAGACAGAACTGTACCCAACGAGAAGCTGTACTTAGGAGAATTTAAGGCTCTAGGTAAGAATGCTCCTAAAATTTGAATTATTTCAAAGGGCAATGTTTCCCTCTTCTAGATGTTGTTAAAGAAATGCCTCTATAACCATGTGTAGGGAATGTTATAGAAAAGAATTCTATACATATTTATGTTTAAATAAATGATCTCTAAAGTTCTATCAAGCTCTAAAACCAAATCCTCAGAAAATGAAAGGAATTTTGTTTAAAGGGAAAAAAGTAAAGTAAAAGAAGCAAAATAAAATTATGTTGGCATCATGTAAAATAAAGAAAACAACAATAATAATAAAATGTGTGTATACACAAACATATACAGATATATGTAGATATACCCAGTTTTTCCACTGTTACAATTCCAAATTTTTTAATTTCATGCTTAACATCTCTATCAGAATATTCTACTGGCACCTCAGATTAAAAATGTCTTAAACTAAATTCATTATCTGTTCTTTCCAATATTTAACCTCTATCCCAATTTTGTTATTTCTTTCACTAGAACCAAAATCCATCCTCCATGCCACCTGGGCTCACTCAAAATCAAGGGGCATTTTTGACTCATTTCTCCCTCACTACAACATCCAATAATTTGTCATGTTCTTGGAATTTTACTCATGATATATTATAATATCCACTATTGTTTAGTTACACTGCCACTAACTTTGTTCATATGAACAACTGAAAAAAGCATGTATTACACCATTTACCAAGGTACGGTCAAAATAGATAAATGACCTAGATAGAAAGGGAGAACCTATTATAGACATATATGAAAGACTTAGGGATAGGAGAAGAATTTATGAATAAACAAGAGATAGGGAACATTGTGAGATGTGGAATGGATAATTTTGATTACATTAAATTAAAAAGCATTTGTACAAATAAAACCAATGTAGTCAATATTTGAAGGAAAGTAGAAAATAGAGGAGAAATTTTATAGACAGTATCTCAGATAAAGGTCCTATATCTCAAATATATAGAGAACTTTGTCAAATTTTTATGAATATGAGTCATTCTCCAATTGAGAAATGGTCAAAGAATATGAACAGGCAGTTTTTCAATTAAGAAATCCAAACTATATATGAATTCATATAAAAATGCCCTAAAGCATTACTGATTAGAGAAATGCAAATTAAAACTTTACAATATCATCTCATACCTATCAGATTGGCTAAAATGATAGAAAGGGAAAATGACAAATGTTGGAGGGCATGTGGAAAAATTGAGATATTAACACACTGCTGGTAGAACTGTGAACTGATCCAAATATTTTGTAGAGCAATCTGGAATTATGCCTAAAGAGTTATAAAACTGTGTATGCTCTATGACTCAACACTTAAGTCTATTTCCCAAGGTGGTCAGAGAAAAAGGAAAAGCACCTATATGTTATAAAATATTTATATCAACTCTCTTTTTGGTGGCAAAGAACTAGAAATTGAGGGGATGCCCATCATTTGGGGAATGGCTAAAGAAGTTGTGGTATATAGTTGTGATAGAATACTACTGTACTGTAAGAAATGATGGGCTGGTTCATTTTAGAACAACAAGGAAAGACTTGCATGAAATAATGAAAAGTAAATGAGCACAGAACCAAGAGAACATTGTATACAGTAACAGCAATACTGTAAGAAGAATGATTGTGACAACAAAGTTATTCTGAATACTATAAATACTCAAATCAATTACAAAGGACCTATGAAGGAAAATGCTATTCACGTCCAGAGAAAGAACTGATAAACAGAAGTACACCTAGTAAGGTTTTACCTGTTGTTACAAATCTGTGTCAAATAGCGGCCTTCTCTACTGTGAGGTAGGGAGGTAGGGACGGAAACAGTTTGGAACTTAAAATGTAACCAGAAAAAAATGTTGATTTAATTTAAGAGAAAAAGCGTTTATTAAGCACTAAATATGTGCAAGGCATAGTGTTAGGAACTGAGGATACAAATAGAAAAGTATGATGGTCCCTGCTCTCAAGTAGTTCACATTCTAATGGAGGAGACAACATATGGAATGTTTGAACTGCAAGTCAGATGGAAAGACCTCACAGTCCTATACTACAGACAGTAAAGTAGATAACAAAACAGATGGTGATGCACCTTCTCTGTTATTTACCCTGCTAAAACCATATCTATTTCTGGTGTGTAACCATTTGACATTACCAAGGATTTCAATGTCAAGAACTTTCTTTTCTGGGTCAAGAAACTAACTATTTCTTGAGCTCCTGGCTGATTCTTTACCTCTGTGAATCCAGGTTGACCTTTATTGAAATCAAGAATACACTGTCACTATTTCCATATATTTACCTATTGAAATCTTTCATTTTAGCTCAAGATCTAACTCAGTAACTAGCTTCTTTAAGAAACGTTCCCTGATCCCCTAGCAGAACATTATCTCTCCCTATACATAGTTTGTATAAGAATTCTGTTTAGACTTGTCATCTCCTTTACTCTTTACTCTTACCATACTTTACCTGATAACATATTTCTTTAAGAATGTCTTATCTCCCTTATGAGACAGTAAGTTCTGTGAGGGCAAAGGTCATTGTTGTTACTTCTAAATCCATCCACCACCTTCGCTAATTCCTTGTCTTCAGGAACCCTTCATTCAATGTTTCTTGCAGGAATGAGTGAAGATACACTGAATTAATTCCATAGTTTTGTTTTGATTTGTTTTAAGAAAAGCCTAGGATTATTCAGGCTCTATGTCTATTACATAGAATAACTGATAAACACACCCTCAACCATCTAACTCCAACAATCATGTGGCAATTTTTACTTTTGAAGCAAACATCAAGGAATCCTATGAAAGTTCCCTCTTTGAAAATGTCTTACAAAGATAATTTAATAAAGAATATATTGATTTTTTGAAAGGGATCATGTAACAGATCAGACTAACAACAGAGCAGAATGGCAAACTCTTCAAAGTCAACAAAACAATCATGCTTTTCAGGAAATATATGATAATGAAAGGTTCTAAATTATGACTCAAATTAGAAAGATAAAATTTTAAATAAAATATTATAATACAAAATTAAAATCAAATTACATTTGCAATACAAATGAGTGAATTGTATTTTTGGTACACAAGTCATGAGTATTTTAATCTTTAATAAAACAATGTTTTAAGAAAAGTTTCTCTCCACCCTTTTCTGACAAACTGAATTTGCTATTTATGCTATTTTATTTATAATCTGATGAATAGCCAATATGAAGATCTTTTAATGCACTGGGAATCACTAATTCTGATATCTTTATAAACTGAACAAAAAAGAACTAAGACTATTATACTGTCCTTCAATTTTATTTCATTTAATTATTATATTATTATTCATAAAGAAAAATCTATAGGGGCAGGTAGGTGGTGCAGTAGATAGAGCACTAAACCTTGAGTCAGGAGGACCTGAGTTCAAATCCGGCCTCAGACACATAACACTCACTAGCTGTGTGATTCTGGGCAAGTCACTTAACCCCAATTGCCTTACCAAAAAAAAAAATAAAAATAAAAATCTATGTTCTCCCTCCTATCTTTCCACAAGTGAAAATAAATGACTCTCTTGTAAAAACTATGTATTGTCAATTGAAACAAATTCCCATACTTAGAATTCATTTCCAATGAAACTCACCAATAATGTGTTGCACCAATCTTCAGTCCATGTGCGAACTCTACTCCAACCAGCATTCAGTACAGAGACTTTTTCCTCCAAAGTTGCCTCACTACCCTCTACCAAACTCTGGAGCGCTGCTCTGATGTCAGTGATATTATTTAAATCACATTTTCTCTTTTCCAACTGCTTTAGCACATTCTAAAATAAAAGTATGCAAATTGTGTGATCTTTTCAATCATTAGGAAGTTTGCATATAACTTTTACATCAAGTTAACAGTTCAGGTTACTCTATCTTATATTACTTAACAGTTCAATTAAATACTTGAAATGATTAAATGGGTGGGATTTTTAGAACTATGCTATAGGATTTTAAAACTCTGTATTATACACTATTGCTCACAGAAAGCTCAAAGTTTTAAAATTCCCAGAAACCATGCAAGTTTTTATACTAAAACAACAAACCTTCAAAACAAATATCAATATGCCTTTTAAACATACATGAATACATTTAACCTTGTCAATTATGTACCTTTTTCAATCACAATATGTCCAAGCATTTTAAAAAGTTTAGGTTAATTGCTTATGAATATCACATTGGTATACTGCACTTTGGGGAACATAAAAGTAGTGCAGTTCATATGAACATAAGCAAGGTCTACCCAACATTTGGTCATTTAACATCGCTTCATTACTCTTCCATGAACATTCAAGCATTTCTTCTAAATATCATACCACAGCCCAAATGCCAGTAATGGGGGAGGGATGGAACCCACAACCATATTTTGTGCGCTTGAGATTCCTGCATTCTCCTAAGTGATTATTTATTGATTGCATGCAGCAAGTATTTACTGCAATCAATAAATAACTGGTAATTACATTTAAGCAAGAAAACGTACAAAACGGCTAGACTAAATGACACAAAAAAAATTAACTGGAAAGAAATTTCTGCATTGGAAATAATGGTGCAGAATATTCTAATAAACCAGATGTGAAAGGATATGAGAACAAAATAAACTATACAGTACTTAAAACTAAACATGATTAAAACCACATGCTAATATGTATTTCCTAAAGAACACTGTATATTTTCCATGTATTATAAGTAACATCAAAAACGATTTGAAACTCTTTTGGTTTCCAAGCACTCTCTCTTCCACCTATACTAGCCCCTTTGTACCTCAATAAATCCTCCACACACACAAGACTGCAGAGTGTGTAATCTCTGTTTAAGATTCTCTTATGATTTTCTTCTACTCTTTGAAAACTGCCTTAAATATCTCCATTTCAATAGTCCTGTTTAGATGCATTGTGATAAAGATATGACTAAAAAAATCCTACACATAACATGGTTCTTTTGCCAAAGAGAATAATAATTCAAACTTTAATCTAAATGTTTATGCTGACAAGTTAAAATAGAGAGACAAAAACCTCTAAGTCAGAAAGACTTGCATTTAAATCTAGATGTATGAACCTGGGAAAGAATTAAAGCTCAAAGGACCTCAGGCAACTCTCAAAGACAGCAAGCTGCAAGGAGTTGCCATGGAAGTTTCCAGTTCAGGAGTTCCCCAAAACAAAGAAATCACAAGTCCAAATACCAGCAGTCTTAACTCACCCCCACCACCAACCTCACTCCACCACATTCCAACACCTCCCAAAAAAAATTCTATAAAAGTGAGCATACTTAATTTTCAATTTTTTTAAAAAGTTCTCTGTCTTCTGGGCAGTTAGGGGGCACAGTGGATAGAACACTCGCCCTGGAGTCAGGAGGACCTGAGTTCAAATGCGGTCTCAGACCAGACACTTAACATTTACTAGCTGTGTGACCTTGGGCAAGTCACTTAACCCCAACTGCCTCACACAAAAAAAGTTCTTTGTCTTTTCTGGGCAGCTAAGTAGTGCAATGGATAGAACACCAGACCTGGAAGACCTGAGTTCAAATCCAGCTTCAGACTCTTACTACCTATGTGACCCTGGGCAAGTCACTTAACCCTGTTTGCCACAGTTACCTCATTTGTAAAATAAGCTGGAGAAGGAAATGGCAAACCAATCTGGTATTTTTGCCAAGAAAATCCCAAAAAGGGTCACAAAGAATTGGACATGACTGAAATGACTGAACAACAACAAAATGTCTTCTTTAATAATTGTATTTGTTAATTTGTGGACTAAGGATTATATAAGCTTAAAATAAAGCATTTTTGTCCATTTAACTACCTGTTTATATATTAAAAAAAAAGGATCTGGGAAATCAATTTCAGGTTTTTTATCTGTGATTTTATTAATCTTTCAGAGACATATGGGTCTTCTTTCATAAATCATCAAATTGTGAATCAGAAAAACAGAATTAATTGTCACATCTCACTAATTGACAGTGATTGACATAATGAAGTGGTGCTGATAAAAATCACATTTTTATCAAAAATAACAAAATAAAGATATCTAACAAAATGAAAGTATACTCCTTATTTCTCTGCTTTTTAAAAATCCTAAAGGCTTTTGATGAGTATACAAAATTCATCATTTTCATAATCAACGTAGCAAAAATGCCTCATAAAAATGGAAAATGTAAAAGATTCTTTGTCTTGCTTAGAAAGACATAACCAAGTGGAAAAACCACTGAGCATGATGAATGCTTAGCTAGGCATAGTTTAACATAAAGGGGTGGGAAAGGTCTTCAGTGCAACTGCCACTACTGTCACTGACGTAACAGTAGCAATTAAATTGAATTATAACTTACTTTGGCCCAGGCGATCTCAGGATCCAGGTCGGAAAGCAAACCTTCCGAAGTCGACTTCTGAACTAACTCAGCTTCGGTAACAGTAAGCCATTCCGAAAGCAAAGCTGTCTCCTTCCTCATTTTGCGAGCCAGCTGGGAAGCTCTTTCCAGATCCTGCTTGCCCTCAGTAACCTGCAGAAAAGAGGGCAAATCAAGAGTGTTTCCGCCATCTTTCAAACTGCTTCACAGTCGTGCCTCCAATATGCTACTTTTTTATGTACGGTTGCCTTAGGTGACATGTAACAGTTGGGTTCTTCAACTTATTCAAGCACAAGATGGGATTAGCTGCATAATACAGTTATACATATGCAGTATACATAGACAACCTGGAATTGCTCAGGTCTTCAGTTTACTCAGGTATAATAAAACGGGTTCTCCTACTACAAAAAATAGCACAGGGACTGATTTAGACAATCACTGAGATAAAGCGGCTAACCTTGTAAAAAAGTCTTTTGAAATTCTTGGGAGAAAGGCATTATATACATAAGTCCGTGCGTGTATCAATGAGTTAACCAATGTGGAGATAAACTTATAGGAGAAGTAAAAGCATTTACATAAATACACCTTTACTAATACTTTTCATGTAAAACAGATTATCTTCAAACGTCAGTCTGGGATAACTTAAAAGAAATGAGATATATAACATTTAAATAAAAATGTTTATGTCTTCGTGTATATGTATACATACGATATATTTGGTATTTGTATGTGTAATATATCTATTGTAAAAATACATAAAATATGAATATTATAAAGGGTATAGACAAAAATTGAAAAGGATATAATCAATAAACATTGATTAAGCACCTACTATGTAAGTCGCATTACATATATCTGGCCAGGGGAAGTTTGGTGGCCCAATAGCAGTGGATAGGGCCCCAGCCCTGGAGTCAGGAGGACCTGAGTTCAAATCCGGCCTCAGACACATTACACTCACTAGCTGTGTGGCTCTGGGCAAGTCACTTAACCCCAATTGCCTCTTGATCGATCAATCAATCAATCAATGAATAAATAAATAAATAAATCTGGCCAGTACAAGACAATTTAATGAAAATGACTTCTGTAGAATAAAAGAGTTAAAGTATCATCTAAAAGAGAGCTAATTATTTCTATATAGAAGAATCAGGTAAAGTGCTCCAATGAATCTAAGCTTTTGGCAAATTCAGGGAAAAATATCTGAAATACCAGTAAGACATCAAATATATAAATTATATCTATTTGAATAATCAGATACCCAGGAAGTAACATCATCATAATAAGATTTATTTTGCCAAAATAAGTTAAGAACCACAATAAAAATAATTTGCAACAGGCCCTGCAATAAATTATACCTGGGTAGCCAAGTTTTATTAAAATCGAAACATTTTTTTAAAGTGTGTAAGGTGGAATTCAGTAACTTCTACTTTTAAATCATTTCATTAAACAATTCTGAGAGCCATGGTCACAATAAAAGTTTTTGGTCTGGTTGACACAGTCATCTATAAAATGTGCACAAAATGAATGTGCATAGTGGATTTTTATGTGTAACTGCAACTGTATAATGATGAGAAGATCCTCCACATCACACATTTCTAATTACAATGTCATTAAAGTTATTTGGCTTCACACCTTACAAGTTCTTCTCAGCACAGTGAGGCTGTAATTGACTAAAAATTCAATGCTATGGAGTCTAATTGTTAAAGTAAAGCAAAATGAGAGTGAAAACACCATTCTAACCACTTTCCTCTGGGCTAATAGAAAGATTTCCATCAAATTTCATCTGGGTGTATTTAATATTCAATAACTGCAGCATGATTCAGAACAACATCTATAACTAAACCACGTTCCAACTTCAGTTTTTTATTTCTTTCTTGGCTTCGAGGCACAGATTCTAAAATAAGTCAAATCGTTAAGCAAATAGATTTTGCCAATGCCTCAATGTAAAAGATCCAACAGTTTCTCTCCCTGTGGTTCCTCCAAAATAACCAAATTATGCACGTATTTTAGAAGGATTTAAAACTGCTGGCATATTAACGTGAATTACCTATGACAATGTTTCAGACATACCATGGCTTTAAGCAATGAGAAGGAAATATGGAGTTTGGGAAAGGCAGCACAAAATAAAAGAGTGGACCCGGGAATCAGAAGACTTAGGCTTAAGTTCATTATGACCTTGGGCAAATAAGGCAAAATCTCAGTGCCCCCTAAGAGCTATTTAAATTGCAGAATAGCTGCTAAATTGCATTGGTAGAGGTTTTTTCCTCCCTTCTAAGTGGAAAGGACAGGGAATAGGAGAAAGAAGAGAAGTAGAAGAGACAAATATGAGGATTAGGATTTTTAAGAACCAACATTTAGGGAAAAAAAAAAAGACAGCTAGGTAGCAAAGTGAAGAGAATGCTGGGCCTGGAGTCAGGAAGACCTAAGTTCAGATCCAGCCTCAGACACTTAATAGCTGTATGACCCTGGGCAAGTCACTTAACCCTATTTGCCTCCATTTCCTCATCTATAAAATGAGCTGGAGAAGGAAACAGCAAACCACTCTAGTATCTTTGCAAAGATAACACCAAATGAGGTCACAAAAAGTCAGGCAGAACTGAAACAATTGAACAACAACAACAAAATATTTTTTAAAAAGCTAACTAATGGGGCAGCTAGGTGGCACAGTGAATAGAGCTCCAGCCTTGGAGTCAGAAAGACCTAAGTCAAATCTGGCCTCGGACACTTGACATTTGATAGCTGTGTGACTCTGGGCAAGTCACTTAACCCTGATTGCCTCACCACCACCCCAAAAAAAAAAAAAAAGCTAACATGGTTTTCCCATATAGGCAGTAGAAAGAATAAAAAATCAACTGGCAATGGCAAAACTAATAAAGCTTGTATTAAACTAAAAAATAGAACACAGAAAAGAGGATCTGTGTAAATAAATAGAAATATTAATTAATAGAAATTAATAAATTTCTATTAATAGAATAGAATAATAAATAGAAAATGTTAATTAAAATTTTCAAACTTATCACTCAAAATTTCAAAGCATAATAAATAGTACAATAAAATTGAGGAAGAAAGTTATTTCAAATGAAATCAGATACATGCAACAAGTCAGGCCTCATAGGAGTGAGCTATTTTTTAAACAGACCTATTTTCCCTAACAAAATAGCTCAATCTTCTTACCTGTGCACCCAAGTCATTATAGAGGAACTTCAAAGAAGTCAGTTGTTCATCCATTCCTTTTGGGTTGTCTGTTTGCTGTTTTTGTACAATCTGCCTTCCAGTTTTGATTACAGTCTCTACTTCAAGTTTTACTTCACTCAAAGTTTTATAGAGTTTCTTTATTTAAAAAAAAAGAATGAAAATTACACATTTCAGGAAAAATTACCAATCTCTGGTACTTTTGGTCAACAGCATATGTATGTATTACCAAAGACTTTAGGGAACATTTCTACAATATATTCTTTTGTGGTGGCCAAGAATTGGGAATTAAGAGGATGTCCATCAGTTGGGGAATGGCTGAACAAGTTGTGGTATATTAATGTAATGGAATACTATTGTGCTATAAGAAATAATGAACAGATTGACTTCAGAAAAACCTGGAAAGACTTGTACGGTCTGATGCTGAGTGAAGTGAGCAGAACCAGGAGGACATTGTACACAGTAACAGCCACATTGTACAATGACTAATACTGATAGACTCAGCTCTTCTCAGCAGTGCAAGGATCTAAGACATCTCCAAAGGACTCATGATGGAAAATGCTATCCACATCCAAAGAAAGAACTATGGAGTTTGAATGCAGATTGAAGCATACTATTTGCTAGTTTTTTCTTCTGTTGTGTTTTGTTTCCTCTTTTTGGTGGTTCCTCCTACTGGTTCTAATTCTTCCTTACCACATCACTAATGTGAAAATATGTTTAATAGGAATATATATGTATAGCCTATATCAGATTGAGCACCATCTTGGGGAGGGAGGTCGGGAGGGAGGAGGAGAAAAATTTAAAACTCAAAAGTTTATGGAAGTGATTGTTTATAAATCAAAATAAATTAATAAAAAAAAAATTTAAAAAAAGAAATGGCAAAAAGGATTACTAAGCCATTGTCAGTAACATCTGAAAGATCATTGAAAATGAAATACATAAAAGCAAAAAAGACTGGAGAAGAGGAAATGTTCCTCCAATGGTGAAGGGGGGGTGGGGAGAGAAGAATCTGCAGATAATAAGCCAGTGGGACTGACTTTGATGCCTGGAAAAATTCTAGAACACGTAGCCCTACTACCAAGACTCACACATTACAAATAAATTTAAATTAGTGCATTTTCTTTAAAAAAAAAAAGCTAACAATGATACACAAACAGTCACACACACGCAATCAAACAGTGACATTGCCTTACCATGCATTTGTCCAAATGACTCTGAATTACATCTGGATCTACATCTTTCACATCCAAAACATGAAGATCAGCCTTTACACTATCTAGAACCCGCTTGCAATCAAGCATACGCTGCTCAAAATTAGCAGGCTTCTGGAAGAGTTGGTACTTTGTGGATACTTCACGAAATTTCCGCTGATGATGATGATGATGATGACAATGATGATGTTAACAATGATGAGGATGATGATAATAAAAATAAATGTTTCATGTCAGAAAATTTTCATACCTAACTACATTACCATCAATTTAGCTGCTGAAGATCAACCATTCTTAATAATGTAAAAATTGAGTATTCCAGAATAAATCAAAATGCTGCAGTGAACCAAGTATAAATCCATAATTAATCAATCCTTAGGAATCTACATGATCAAATAATTTGTTAACTACAACCAAACATTATCTTGACAAATTGTTTATTCATCTTTGAAAAATGAAGGATAAAATTGATTTCAGAGAAATTCAAACTTTATCATTCTTAGTAATCAGTTTTAAATGCATCATTTACTCCAGCATGTTTTTCTAGAACTCCAGTAACAGGACAAATATATAATATCAGTATCCAAATCTGGTGAGTCTTTTATTTTGAATGCCTGCAGAAAATCAGACTTTTTTCTTATCCACAAACAAAATGAAATATGAATACATAATGGTACAAGAGTACACAAATACTGCTTTGTTCAAGTAACATATTCCTATCCCATGTCTCATAAAATCAGGAACATCTAAGGAATTCAAAATCTTTCCTGGAACCTGCTTCTCCTACTCAAAGCTCCTTCTTTGAGGTTCCTTTACAATCTGGTACATTGGAAAGGGACTCAGAAATGGGCTGAATTCCCAGCTTCACTACTAACTATGTAACCTTAGCTCAGTCCTTTAATCTCTTAGGACATCAATTTCCTCAATTGTATAACAAAGGAGTTAGACTAGTTGATCTCTCAGATGTCTTCCAGTTCTATAAGCCTATGACTAAACTCATTAACAATTCCTTTAATTCTGTGTGTCCGGCTGTCTTGAAAGGTGGAAACAGAATCTTCTGCTCCTTTACCTGCAGCATATCTATCTGACTTCCTCCTCGAGGGGTCCTGCCTTCTGGAGAGGGGGGTGGCTGAGATCGTGTATTTCTTCTCAGCTCTTCCAATGTTAATTCATGGGCAGAGATTTCAGCATGAATTTTCTGTCAAAGGAAAATAGTGAAGAAGATTAAAGGTGGAGATGACTTTTAAAACAGGCCATGGAAAGAAATTGTATAGAGAAATAACATAAAACATTATAGGAGACTCTCCAAATTTGGCAAGGTAATTGACACTGTATCAAGAGTAAAAACTGGGGTAGATGTGGAGTCAGAGGATCTCAGTTCAAATCTCAAGCTTGGCACAAGATACCCAAAGCAAAGTATTACACCCTTATTTGGTCTTCAGTTTTCTCATCTGTAAAATGAGGAAGTTGGACTAAATGACCAGAAAGTCTATTATAGCTGAAAACTCCATGTTCCTTATTTGTGCTTTGTAAATCTTAAAGTACCCTATAAATGTAAGTGATCATAATTATTATTTTCCACATGTCCTTAATGGGAGGAGAAGCTAAAACAAGCTTCAAAGAGCTGTCCACATCATATGTTGGACCATGACAAATTGCAAAGAAAATAATTAAAATTAAAATCAAAGATCTGCATTATGAAATTGCTACACCTGCATAAAATGTGTTGTCTCCAGGAATCAGCAGGAATCATTCTTTATACCATCATTTAAAAACTCAGAAAAGTTTATATAACTAAGGAATTACCTGAGCCTCCTGTGGAACCTGGAAGGCATCTATTCTATCTGTCAAGTATGTGGTGAGCTGTTTATCCAGCTCTGTTAGGCTTTCCTGCAAAACTTGCAGCATGTGATCAGTTTCCCTCATGGTCTGTAGTTGCTTTTCCAAAGAAATCTGTCTGGACTCTGCCTACAGAGGACAAAAAGTTAGTATTCAAAAGTTCAGCATATACTCAGTTAGGTATAGCTATCAGAATATAAGAGGATCCATACATTCCAGGTCACAAAAAGAAGAAACAGGTGGCAAAACACCACCATTTAGGAAGCTATGACTTGATTTAGATAAGTAATGAACATCTAAGAACACTTACTGAAAAGATGCTATTCAGTTGTAATAAAAAGAGCAACTTACACTTTTCTTTTAGCAAACCATAAAATACCATACCTCACAAACCTAGATTTCTTACATAAATAACATTAAACAACAACAAAGTAGAAGAACAAAGATCACAAAACATGGAGTCAAAAGAACTGGCTTCAAATCCTGGTTTGGTTAAGGCAAACAGAATAACTTTGGGAAGTCATTTTTACTTTTCTGTGCTTCAAATTTCCTTAAAAGGCAACAGAAATATGAGTTACTGTTTGCATATGTTTGTCATTAGAAAATACTGAGAAAGAAAGATGGAATTGGGGTTCAGGAATAATTTTATTTATGTTTTAACAGATTTTTAATGGCATTTGTTTTTATATCACTCTCCATATGCTTCCTCCTTCCCTCTTCCAGTTTTATCTCTTTTAACAAAGAATGAATTGTTGTTGTTTTAAAAAAGAGGAAGAGGAACAATAATTTTGCAAAACCAATTAATATATTTAAAAAATGTGATGACACAGAAAATTTCCAAACTCATGGGTTCCTCCATCTCTTTTCGATTGGGACAGATTTATTCTTCATAATTTTGCAAAATGCATCATTGTTTTGTGATTATTGTTCTTTCCATTTATTTTGACGTATTCATTATACAGGTTTATTTTCTTGGCTCTATTTACATCAGTACATATAAGACTTTGCATGCTTCTCTGCATTCATCATGGTAACCATTTCTTACGGCAGAGTACTATTCCATTAAACTCACATAGCAAAATTTATTTAGGCATTTCCTTAAATAAATAAGCACCTACTTTGTTCATAGTTCTCCTCTACTACTACTACTACATACTACTACTACCACTATCACTACCACTACCACCACCACTACTACTACTACTACCACTACCACTAGCACTACTACTACAACACAAATGTTGCTAAAAATATTTTCATACATACTGAGCCTTTCTTTTTGCTTCTTGGGGATATATCACTAACATTGTAATTTCTGAGACAAAGGGTAAAGACATTTCAGCCACTTCATTTGCATTATAGTAAATTCTTTCCAGGATGATTGTACTAATTTACATCTCCAACAACAATGAATAATTGAGTGTATCTTTTCTAGAGCCCTCCAACATGGATATTTCTCATTTTTCATAATTTTTGCCAATTTTTCCAGGTATTGTGTGAGATGAAATTTCAGTTATTTTGAGTTTCATTTTTCTTATTATTAAATAGTGTAGCATTCTTTGATATAGTTGTAAAAAAGTTTATTATATTAGTTATTAATAGTTTATAATTTTTCTTAAAATAATTATTTATCATATGTTGAACAATTAGGGGGTGGCTTTTGGACTTATATATTTCTATTAATTACACTTCTTGGATATCAAACCTTTGTCAGACATATTTGATTTTAAAAAAAAAAGATCCCAGTTGACTACTTCCAATTCTTATCTTGGATGCATTAAAATTGTTTGTGCAAAAGGTTTTCAATTTCATATAATCAAAATTATTCATTTTATCATATTTAGTTCCATCTATTCCTTGTGTTAAGAATTCATCTGCTACCTACAGCTATGACAAATATATGCCCTCCTTATTTTGTAACATTTTGCTGGTATTATCTTTCATGTTCAGGTCACGTATCTATTCTTAATTTATTCTGTATTATGGTATAACATATTGGGCTAAGTCTAATTTCTACCAAGCTGCTTTCCAGTTTTCCCACTAGATCATAGCAAACAGGGTTGCTTTCCTTATGTTGTCACCTTTACTATATATAGTGTAAGTAAGCTCCCATTATTTCTGATTAGACCTTGTCAAGTCAGCTGCATTGACATCTATTTTTCTATTTTTTAACCAGTAACAATTATTTTAATGACTGATGCTTTATAATGTAACTTGAGGTCTGGAAGTATTATTCCCTCCCCCCCAAAATTTTTCCATTATTTACCTTGATATCTTTGGTCATTTGTTCTCCAAAGCGAATTGTTACAACTTTAATTAGATGTGATAAAGTATGCCATTGCTAATTCTACATTATTAAATCATCAAATGAACTCTGGTAATATTATCATTTTTATTATATTAGCAAAGCCCAGCAATAAGCACCGACTAGTCCAATTATATAAGTTGTTTATTATTTCTTGAAGAAACATTTTTATTCAAAGTTGTACAAATATTAGATGTGCTTTGGTAAAATAACTCCAAAATATTTTGTACGTTTTGTAGTTATTTTGACATTTTCTTTCTATTTTGCCTTCTGGATTTTTTTTATTATATAGAAATATTGTTGATTTTGTGGGTTTATTGTGAAGCCTGGAAATTTGTTGAAGCTGCTTAGTGTCTCAATTAGTTTCTTTGCTAATTCCCTAGAATATTATAAGTAAACCATCATGTCATTAACAACTCAGGATAGTCTTGCCTCTTCTTTCCCTCACTTTATGATTTAATTTCTTTCTCTTGTCTTATTGCTATTGCTAACATTTCTAGAACTGTGTTGAAAAACAGTGGGGAAAGTGTACAACCTTGCTTTATTCTTGTGTTTGTCAGAGATGATTTCTATGGTGTCACTAATACATATTATGATTACTTTTGGTTTTAGATACATGTTTTCCAAAAGGAATAATTTTATAAATATAAATACAAATGATCATGGTTTACAAAATGGTTAAGATAGGAAAAAACTACATAACATAATTCTATGTAGTTTTTCAACATGTTGCAAGTAAGCACATATATAATTCTATATATATGCTTATATATAATTCTATATCTATATGGAATATAATTCTAGTATCTCATAAATATTTATACATGAAAACATTGCTGTGTAGACCTGCTATGTGCAATGTTTGTTTTAGATCAATGAAATTCACATCCTGCTTTTTTCATTACATTTTGTACATTATTACTAATATTTGCTGTGAAAGTTTAAATACTCCTACCACTTTACAGTGAAATGTATCTTTCCTGTTACCATACAATGCTTAGAAGCATATAATGAAATATATCTCTATTGTTGACAGTTAAGACACTCAGTGGCATATTCAGATATATCACTGTTCAAGATGGTATGAATTCTTTATTATTTTTATAGAACTGAACACTATTTAACCTCAAAAGTTAATTATAAAATTGTATTTTGTCTAATTAAGAATATAAAGTTCTATATCCATAAGGAAATGAAGAGAAATTGTGGCTAGAAATAATATCAAAGGCATTTTGGTTAATGCAAGAAAAACTCAGTCAGGTTTACTTTATGATTTTGCTTGACTTTAGCCTGACCATTACCTTTCCTTAATTGCCCTTCCTTTAAACTGAAACAATAATTAATCATCATCATTTATGAGTTAGGATTCTTACCAAGTGGCTCAATTCTTCATATCGGCTATTGAAGTTCTCTAACTTCTCACTGATTATGTCATCAAGAATCCCACCATCAATTAGAGTCTGACCAAGTTCACGGATCTGGGTGCGATTATCTGCTGGGTGACGTAAAACTGATTCCAAAGACTGAATAGGAAAAACAAAACAAAACAAACTTATGATCTGAGCAGTTACTTCACGTCAAGGCTGCAAAACTCAGTCTTAACAGATTCCAGTTATTATGCTGTATTTTGTCACATTTCAATTTACTATTGATAGCCAACCTGTCTTACAAACTACTACCAATTGGGGGTAGTTCTCTTCAACTAACCTCTGACTTCCTCACTGCCCAGCACTACTATTTCAATCTAATTTTCAACAACTGCCTGCATTACAACTGTCTCCTCACTACACACTTTTGCCAACTGCACTGGCCACCCCATCCTCAAATACCTGAAGAATAAAAAAAATTAATTGACTGATTGACTGCAGTCTTATAATGTATTTTTTTCCCCAATCAGGCCACATTACAGATAAGCTACATTATGTTATGATGTTTTAGGTACAATTGCCAGATAATCCCACTCATTTGGGAGTCTTGAGTCACACTATACCAACTACACAAAAAAAATCAAATGGATGTTTGTTTCCAGTATAATAACTACTCTAAGGAACAATTGTTGTATTAGATTTGGGTATGCTTGGTTCTTGCACCAGCCCAAATTTCATCAGTACAAAGAATTCCTAGTGAAAATCCTCCTGTACCAACTTGGATCGGCACTTTTTCAGCCACTCATAGTTTCAGAGAGCTGAAAGGGGCATTGAAAAATTAAGTGACTTGCTTAGGACCACACAGTCACTCTGTGTTATAGGCAGGACTTGAAACCAGGTCGTCATGACTAGAAGGCCAGCTGTCTAACCACTATCCTATACTGTCTCTCATAGTTCTATTAGCAATAATAAAAATTGTAGGACAAAAATTAAAAAGAATTCAGATAATTCAATTTTTTCCCAGATTTTTCATTTGCTTGGTAGCTTCTGACAAATTATTCTTTGGCCTTTGATTCACCTCTCAAATGTGATTATATGAATTGCTACCTGCCTCTCACACAGGGATCCTGAGATGATTAGTGGGCCAAGAGTTCTTTTCACACACGTGCAGGAATTGCTACATCCTTCAGCAATAGTAAAAGCTGACTATTATGCTAATTAAAATTGCAACATTCCAAGGAACAACATAACCCTGTAAGAAAATGTCTTCTTTATTTTAGCGCAGGATGAATCTGACAGTGGCACGAGGAAATTATCACACATAAAAAAAGATGGCTCTTAAGTACCTCAAGGGCTTCATTGAGAGCATCTGTTTTCTCAGGCAAGGATTCAGTGCTTTGTACTCTCTCTTCCAAAGTGTTTAGCCAGATTGTCTCCAGCTCTAAATAATGAAGCAGTTCAATCCAGCAAGACCATACCTCCTAAAAGGAGGACAAATCGAATTAGTCTGGAGGGAAATGAATACATAATAATATCTCCATATATCTACATGTTCTGCTTAATCAAGGCTAATTTCATTCAACAAGCACAGTTCCAAGGACTAGTTATAACACCATCTACCACAATATGGAAAAAAAATTAGAAAGTAATCTAATATCTGATCAGGAGGCGGTAAAAATTTAGGGAGATCAGAAGAGGAAATAAAACACAGGAGAAAGTATTCACAAATATACAGCAAATTTTCATTCACACTGTGAACTTTCGTTCACAGCATTTACTAAATACCAAATCACTTTTTGTCAGTAAGCTGATAAGGTATTTCCCTGCCATTTCATCTTCAATCATTAGAAGTGAAATGGGCATCAAAAGAAAAGTCAGGAGATCGGACAAGACTATAGTAGAGAAGTCTAAGTTTACAGACAAGAGTAATTTAGCTGGGATACAGGAATTTTTTTTAAATATATTTGAATAGTTGTATTTCAATACAGCTGATTTCCTTTGTTATCCATTGTATTATTTTATGCATTTAAAAACATTATTCTGAGAAAGAATCCAGAGATTTCAGCAGGTTGCTGAAAGCGCCCTGAAACAAAAAAAGTTAAGAAATTCTGATTTTGGAGGAAAACAGAGAGCACAGCTTAGACTGGAAGCCTTTTTTTAAAAGTATATTATTTTATAATAAACTAGGCAATTATACACACACACACGCGCGCACACACACACACATATATATATATATATGAAAACAGAAGAAGATAATTATCCATGAAAATGAAGGTCACTGTTTACGCAGAAAGTTTTTCTTTTTAAATATAAATAACATTTAATTTGTAGCTTTCAAAGCTATCCTGCTTGACTGTGCTTCTTTCTGATCTCTCTTTTAGGCAATTTTTTTTGAAAGATGCTTTAATGACCCTGGCTGTACTTCCTTTATTTTTTTTTCTGCTACTTATTTATATTACCCCTTACTGTCTCCCATTCCCTCCCCCCACCTTCCACAACCTTTCATCAGTGAAAAGGCCAGAACTGAGCAGATAAATTCAACTGGAAGTTACTCCTGGCTGTTTATATATACTTCACCCCTTCTCCTTCAGCACATTTAGAAAGAAGACTCTTACTGGTTTCTCCTCCATCACTGGTGTTGTAGGTGTCCTTGGTGGTGGCATTCATTTGCTCTTCTTACCTTTCTATTATGTGGGCGTATTCAAGAAGCAAATAATCGCTTCAGGTCTGGGTTTCTAAGAATGTTGCAAGTGTCTCTGTTGTTGAATGTTCATCTTTTTTCACTTATGATGAAGCTGAGGTTTATAGGGCAAGTCATGGGTTGCATCTTGAGCTCTATTGCTTTTTACAAAACATTATTCCATTCCCTCCTGCATTTTCTGATGAGTACAGATTAGTCATTTAAATTGTCTGTCTTTTATTGAAGGTCTTTCTCCTCTTTGCTTGCAGAATTTTGTTATTTCCCAATTAAGTTGTTCACATAACCACTATGTACCTCTGAGTTTGCAACCTTGAGTTTTCTTTGGAAGGCAATCTCTGTATTTTTTTTAATCATTGCTTTCTGTGTGCAGAAGCTCTAGGCAATTTTCTTGTATTATTTTTTTACATTTTGATATCCAGGTATTTTGACCTGTCATATACTTCTGGTATACACATGCACTTCAGTTCTCAGTGCATGTGTATTTGAGATCATTCTGTTTTCCTTGTATGAAGAACATACTTTCTTTTAATGTTATTGTTTTTTGCTTCTGAAGGTACCAACACCAAACTGCCTCTTCTTGGAAGTAGTTTTACAGTGTTTTGTAGTTTGGAATTGTTTTTTTGCCAAAAGCTACTTCTGACAACTGCTTAAATTTTGGCAATCTTTTATGCCTGGTTTATCTTCCCTTCAAGATATTCCTATAGTCAATTTGCCTTCCTAAAATCTCTAAATTCTTCTTCTGTCTGAATGAGAGGCAGAGAAGGAAGTAGTATTGTATGCCTCCTTCTCCTCTTTCTCCCAATCTCTGTTCTTCTTTTTCTCAAGAAACCTTAGTTTCCATCCCCACTAAGATATTTCTTCCATTGTTTACAAATTCTATCTATTCCAGTCTTTGAGGTCTAACCACAGAATATTTTTTTATTTAAAGAAATTTTCATATAAAACATAGCTCATATTACAACTGCTAAAAACCAACTTAAGGAAGACTTTCACTAATTTACAGTATTAAATGATAACAATGTTTTAGAAAATGAATTAGATGTTAGTGTTAATCATAGATGTCTTCCACACCTAGCACCCTATAACCCTGTGTTGTGCAATCTCAATGACAATTTTTAATAAAATAAACAAAAAGTGATTCTCAAGAAAAAATACTGAATAAAATTACAGGGTCATTACACTTACACACCAGAAAGTTGTGATCATTCAGATACAATATCTCATCCTGATCTAGTTAAAACACAAAAATATGAGAGAAAAGGGTTTGCATTTACTACACTGTTATATAATGTAGTCCTAATGATGTTTCATTAATTTCTCTTATTGATTCCAATTTATAACAATAATAGTTGTTATTTAAGCAGCATTATTAAAGATTTCAACATTTCTTACATGTTCTTCAGGTGGCAGCACAGGTTTTCCTACCTGCATTTTACAGGCGATAAATCTGAGGCTCAGAGATTTAAGGGATATGAACATGGTCTCAGAGAGAGTCTGATGAGTAGTAAGATTTAAAAACAATTCTCTTCTGGCTTTAAAAATAGCACTCTCCCCACAATGGCAAAGAATGTTGTGATTAATAATTTAGAGCAACAACATTAAATTCCTTTTAAAATATTGTATCATTAATTTTTTTCTCCATTTTTCCTTTACTTAATTATAGCAGCAAAGATAGAAGATATAATTGAAAACATCTAATCCAGGACACCCAATTTTACAGATGAAAAAATCTGAAAGCCAGAAAACAAAAACTTGCCAGTGGTCACACTGATTGTTACTTGTAGAACTTAGATAAGAATCCAGAGCACTTAACTACCAGTTTAGTCTTCTTTTCTTTAAGGTAAACTATACAAAATATTGGTGTTAATCAATTAATCCATGAAGAGCCTATATTGTGCTAGGCACTATATTAGGCACAGAAGATACAAATATAAACACAATGAAACAATCCCTATCGTCAATGAGTATAAAGACAAAACAGTTCTAGAGAGAAGTTTGAGATTTATTAAAAGTTTTCCCTAATTTCTCCAAAGCAAACCAGGCCACTCTCTGCCTCTTTAATTTCAGTTCCAATGCATCTGTGAAGTATTTGCTAAAGTCGTAAAAAATGATGGATTGGATCTTTGTGTTGTCCACCCAACGGTATATCAAAATCTGGACAATAGGCAGTCCTTATCCATTTGGTTTGTCCTACATGAACAGTTAGGCAGAATTATTAGGTGATTATGGATTTCATTTTCAGCCTCTGCATTATCAGGAGATTAATGAAATTAACACTAAATTATCTGCTGCCAGGAATCATATGGCTACAAATCAAAAAGCATAATAGTTTCTGAAGAAATAAGGTTGCAGATCACACAGAAGACAAAAGGGAAACACATGAGGGACATGAGAAAAATATCGGATGTCACCAATGGAAAAGTAGCATAACTGAGATGTTATTCTTTAAATCTGTAGCTTGCTTTTTTTAAAATTTTTATTTATTTTTAATTTATGGGGGGAAAAATAAGCATTTCCAATACATAATATAATTTTGAAAATGATTGTACATGAAACTGCAAACCTATTATGTACAACTTGCTATTCTTTTCAAATATATAATAAAATTATCTGTATATTTTTTTATTTTTTTTCCTTCCCTCCCCAATGTGCTGCTTGGTTTTACTGGAATGCTCTCCTTTCCCTCTTTCTTTTTTAATTATTTATTAAGAGTGATAGCTCACTCTATACAGGGATGAAAAGGGATGTAATCAAAAGGTCAAGTCAAAAACAAAAAAGAAAAAGAAAATTTTGTACAAAGAAAAATGTACAACTGGAAAAAGGTGACTGAATCACATAGCGAGTATCTAGCCTATATGCTACATTAGTATCCATGCAATGCCAAGAGCATCCTGGGAGGACCTCCTACAGAGGATTACAGGAGGATATGTACAATAGCCCCAAGGGTTCAGGAGGAGTAGCTGGCTTATGATATGCACCTCTGGAAACAGGGTTCACATCAGTATGATCATGGATCCACTTAAGTGTTATAGTAAAATAAATATAGTCACTAAAGATAAGGAGGCTATTCGACAATTTCATTCCTAAACTTACATAAATGACTATAAATTCAAAGTGCATTTTTATGAAAGGGGGGAAAGGGAGGGAAGAAACAAACCTCTAGTGTATGGCATTTCCCTCTAATTCGATTACAAAGAAGCTGATAGTTTTCCAATACCACATTCAACTCAGATGTTAACTCTTCACCACCAGATGGCACTTTCGCAGCTAACAACTTGATGCTGTCTTTCAAAATCTTCACTCGCACCTCCTTCTGCAACACATCCTCTTTTGCCCTCTGTGGAAAGAGAGGTAAAACATTAAGAAAAAAAAACTTAAAACCACTTCTCCCTTCTACAGCTGTTTTACAAATGTTTTTATTTTGTTTTCTTTCTAAACTTTAATTAGAATACCATTATCTAAATCTGTTACAACTGACTAGATTTCAAGGCACTATTTTTTAAACAAAAACAGAAACAGTAAATAAAGGATGTTAAAGCTGGTATTCAAAGGCTATGGGCTCCTGCACATATAAGCAAATACAAATCTCAATATGAATCCAAATAATAAGTACAATTTTGCAAGACAACTGCATATATTCTACTTATTACTATAGCAGCATAATGCAGGTGACTTCAGGAACTATTGCCATAATATTTTTCCTCATTCAAAGGACTTTTACATTTCAAAAAGACCCCCTAAAATAGTTTAAATACTAAATTTTTAATGAAGTAGAGACAATGTACAGTTTTCTTTATGATTCAATCAGTTAGTCCCCTATGGACAATAATAAAACTATCTGCAGAGGTGCTGAACACCTAAGTCATGTTCAAGGGCTGCCAGAATCATCTTTGAATTCATTTAGTCCGACCTCATCATTTGACATAAGGAAAGTGAAGTTAAGGAACTTGAAGGGACTTGTTCAAGGTCCCAAAGGTCACAAGGTATGAGCCAGAGCCAGGTCTTGACCCACATCCTCTAGGTTTCCATTGGACCACGCTGCCACTAAAGGTAGAAGAACCAAAATTTAATTAATCTTAAATGGCCACAAGGCTTTCACACAAAATTTTCTCATTAATGGGAGAGATCAACTCTAAGGATGATACAAAATATCAGATAATTCCCCAAATTATTATATCTGGTTTATCATTTCCTTCTTTCTATTTACATTTGAATATAGGTTGATGGTACGTTATGAGAACTTCTAACATTTCACACAAAACCATAAAAGGCATACGATAAAGAACTAACACTAGAATTAAAAGCTTTTACAGCTTTTTTTTTATCTCTCTATCCAAAATTCTTCCCCTATTCTGGAAAAAAAAAAGTACAGCATCTCATGATATCTGAGTATTCTAAAATTATATCTATTTTTAAAATTTCTATACTCTCTACATTATACTTCCCCAGTTTCTCTGAGAAGAATTAAATGTGATCAATAGAATATATGTAAAATATAAATGAACAAGAAATTAAATGATATTCCCTTATCCAGTCAATTAATCTCAATTAAACAGTATCAGTGCAATGCCAGTCACCCAATGGAAGAATAGCAAGTAAGAGTCTTCTTAAAATTATAAGCTAACTTAAATATTCTTGGTGATTCAAAATTCCTTACATGCCTTTTATAAATAGTAAGTGCTTCCCAAGGGCACTTACATCAATAAGCATTTGTGCCAACAAAAACACTAAAACTCTAAGCAACAAAACTATTTCCACATACAATGCTATTTTCAGCAAAGGTACTAGATTGATGTTTGCTTCACCTTGTACATTCAGGCAGATTAAATTTTGGCTAAAAAGAGTCACTACTTGTTCTCAAGTGTATCAAAATGCCCTTTAAAGTAATAGTTTCTGTGTCAGCTAAAACACTCAAGGACAACTGAAGCAATACTTGAAAGTTGGGCACCGTGCCCAGAGTATTTTTTTTTAAGTGCACTGAACAATTTACATAGTACAAACTTGAGGGAAATAAATACTGTGGGCTGACCGGATATCAAAGTAGTGGTAAAGGGTTCTGTTACCTTACTAAGTGAAAGAGAGGCTAGCAATTGGCATGGGCCAAGCATTTAAAAAAAGAAAACAAACAAACCAAAAAAAAAAAAAAAAGCAAGCTGTTTCACATATAAAGGAAAGAAAAAAGGACCATGAGCCATAGGGCCAGAGCTGACTTCTAGACGGCAGACTCTCTTGCTCCTGGAAACAAATTATTCTCATCCAAAAACTGAAATAAATGGCGTAAATCCAATTTTTATATGATTATATTCCTACCTTCATTTCTTCAACAGCACTCTCTAGTTCTTCTGGTGATTTATATTCAAAATCCTTTTCCAAATACTCTTCTTCAGCCTGAGTCATCCATTCCTGCATCTCTGCCAAGTCCTTCTTCAGATTCATAGCTTTTTCCTGACTTTCAGATAACTTGTTCTTCTGAATAGCAATCTAGGGGAAAGTTGTTACAAAAAAAAAGATGTTGATTAATTTTTTAAAAATTATTTTGAAACTTTGCTTTAAAAATCACACTATAAAAAATGCATGGGCTATACACTATCTTGTAGCAATGAAAGGTATAACTTCATTAAGAATACAATGCTAGGCATTATATTCCCAAAGGACAGAGGCTAGTGATAAAAATCCAGTGTTGGCAACTGGCAAGTTTAATACTGTAGTAAATTATTAGGAAGTGAAAAATGTCCTGAAGACAGTTGGGGAAAGTGGGAATAACATGAACATTCTTTGTCCTCCTAGCATGTTTTTCATGATTGAGTATGGCTTAGATGGGATGTTCAAGTATGTAAGTATTATTGATTTTTCTAAATTGTATTTTTATGCAGGGAATTGCTAGAAATTTTGGTGCAGGAAGGGAAAAGAACAAAATGATATCTATCTAAATTATTATTTATCCCAGTTTCTCTCCCCTTCCCCAGCAACAATTTAAATAGTATAAAATTAAGCAACAAATACATGAATGTCTCCCTTTGTCCTAAGTCCTGTGGAAAATATGAGGTAGTAAGAATTCATCTCAATGAAACAAATATGTATTACAAAACAGCCTTAAGTGCTGGGGATGATAAGAAACAATTAACTATATTACAACTTGCAAAATGATTAAGTACATAACAAAGAAGAAATTGAGGGGCCAGAGAGGAACAAAGATTGAAAAATTCTTAACTGGTAGAATCAAGGAAAAATTTATAGAGCTAGATGATGAAGCGGATTTAGCAACCATCCCTGGAGTCAGGAGGACCCAAGTTCAAATCTGGCATCAGACACTAGCTGTGTGACCTTGGACAAGTCACTTAACCCCAATTGCCTGGACTCCTTCTCCCCCCCAAAAATGAAAGAGGTCTTCAAAAGGTAAAGAAAAATTGTGTATGTGTTTTCCTGGTTTGTTGAGGTATAGAATAAGTAAAAAACATTGATTGTTTTTTTTGGCAGACTTTAATATGATGAGATTTGTTCATTGCAAAGAATACTTTGGCACATGTTCACACATTATGAAGGGGAAAAACTTGAGGAAAGAAGATTAGTTTAGAAGCATATTCTAATAGTCCAGGATAAAAGTAATTTTGTTTTTCTTTTTCAAGAGGCAGATTCCTAGGTTTTTACAAATGACTAGATGTGAGAAGACGGAATAAGTAAAATGGATGAATAAAAGATGACTGAGCACTTAAAGCTAGAATGGTGCTGTCATCAATTGAAAAAAAAATAACATAAAATGAGGGGTAGATGTAATAGGAAAGATAACGGATGTGAGCCCTTATGAGTTGGAGGTATTAGCAAAACATCAAAGTAGATATGAAAAGTAGAGCTGAAACTGGGGTACACAGATCTGAGAATCATTTCTATAAAGGCAATGACTGAAAACATAAGAGAAAGTGAAACCTCAAATAATAATCAAACTTTCATTGTATTATGAAAAAAATGCAGAAGAGACAGAAAAAAATGTCCATTCAAAATAACTACAGAATCTAAAAAATATCTAGACGTCTTAGATACACAGGAATTATGACTACAATCATAAAACACTCTTTACTACTCTTCACTTTTTAATAAAAAAAAGTTATTTTGTAAGGTATTAATTGTTTATCATTAGGCTGGGCCAATACACTATAACAATACTACCTAAATTAAGTTATTTATGCAGTGTCATATCACTCAGACTACCTAGGGTTACTTTAAAGAAGTAGGAAAAATTAACAAAATTCATCTGAAAGAAGAAAAAGCTAAGAATCTAAAGGTAAATTTTGACAAAGGGTGAGAGGGAGAGAGAAAGGAGAAGGGTTTGATTTTTTTTTTCCAGCGGAGGGGTAGGGAAGAGGAAAGAGGAAGAGATAATAAATGCTTGTTGACTGAAAAAATTAAAAATGTTAAAAACAGTGAAGCATGCTAAAGTTCTGCCAATTGCTAAGTAAAGAATATACAAATAATTATGATTACAAAACTCACTTGCTTGCTGAGTTTCTCCCACTGTGTCTGATAGTCTACAAGCAATGTCTGCACCCAGGTTTTAACTCCAGCAACTGGATGGCTTCTCAGAGCCGACTCTATTTCCCTCATTTCTTTGAGGGATGAATCAATTGTTTCCATTTCATTAACAAATGCCTATATGCAAAATAAAAACACTTGTTCATGAAAATAAAGCCAAAAGTAAAGAAACTTCGATGAAAACTTAGAAGGGGACACAGAGTACAAATACGTTGGTCTTTTTATTTTATGTCAATTCATTTGCTCCTACTTTGTCAAATATTAAGTATGCTCTGTCAGATTTTATTCTTTGTTTTGTAGGCATGATTAGTTCAATTTATGGCAAAGTTTATAACAATCCTTAAAAAAAAAAACCATAGGCTTCTGGTAGAAAGAATACTGGAATAGGAGTCAAGCAAACTCTTATCTTCTCGGATGATGGACTTATTGGTGATATAACCTTAGACAAATCACTTTGCTTTTCTGGGGCCCAGTTTGTCCATACATAAAATAAAGGGGTTAAATGAGATAATCTCAATCATGGACTGCATTAAAAGAAACATAGCTTTTAAAAAGAAGGAGGTGATAGCTCCTCTGTGTTCTGTTCCACTTAGTCAAACCTCACTAGTGTTCACTTCTTGCCAACATAGTCAGGAAAGATTAGAGGATATTGGGAGCAGGGAAACCAGAATTATAAAGGGCCCTACGTATATTTCATATGAAGATCAGCTGAAGGAAGGAGATAGTTATCCTGAAGAAAAGAACACTGGGTGGTAGTTAGATTTTTTTTATTGCATAAAAGGCTGAATTTGTAGTTAGGGAGATGTGAGTTCAAATCCTACCTTAGACACTAGATGGATGACTCTTAGCAAATCACTTAACTTCTCTGCATCATTTCCTCATTTATAAGATGCGGATGATAATAATGATAAGCACCTGTCTCACAGGGTTGTGGTGAGGAATCACATGAGACCATATATGTAAAGTACTTTGCAAACCTTTAAATCATGATATAAATACTAGGTATCATCATTACCATTATCATTATTATTATTATCATTACCATTAAGACCCATGTGACACACGATAATTATTAACAAGTATCTGAATGGTTGTTATGTAGAAGAGAGATTAGACATGTACCCTTTAGCACCAGAAGTCAGAACTAGGTCTAACGGGTGAAAATAGCAAAGCGGCAAATTTAGGCTTGATATTAGGAAGGTCATAATAATTAGAATAGTCCAAAAGAACAATCAGAAACATTAGGAAATAGTGGGTCCCCTCTCAACAGTCTTGAAATAGAAGCTGCTGCATAATTATTTCTTTGGCTTATCAGTCATAAACAGCCAATGAAGTTTCATCTAACATTAAAGATCTTTGAACTTCTATGATCAACCATACTCCTCATAAAGACAGGTAAAATTATACATTATTGGCAGGGAGAGTGGGATAGACAAATGATTTCCTGGGTATGAAGAATTCTTCAAATGGAAACTCCCTCCAAAAGCATAGATCATCAAGCCAGCTGTAAAATATTGTCCTAAGAGTTGCCTAGAACACTTAGAAGTTAAGAGACTTGTCTCAGGAGCAGATAGTTTGCAGTCAAGGCAGAACTTGAAGCAAGGTTGTCCTGTTTCCAAGGTTAATCTTTCATTCATTTTTGAGGGGGTTGGGGGGTGGGGGAGGTGACGGGGGTTAATTGACTTGGCCAGGGTCACACAGCTAGTAAATGTCTGAGGCCAGATTTGAACTCAGGTCCTGACTCCAGGGCCAGGGATCTATCCACTGGGCCACCTAGCTGTCCTGCTTAGACTTTCAATATATATTAAGCACCTGCAATGTTTCAGGCATTGTGAGAAGTGCTGGGAATACAAAAAAAAAAGGCAAAAGAAAGCCTCTGCTCTAAAAAACTGAAAGTCTAACGTGGGAGACAACATGAACGCAACGATGTACAAATAAGATATATATGGGATAAAATGCATGTGACCAACAGCCGGAAGGAACTAGAATCAAAGGGCTATTGGGAAAGGCTTGGGCAGCTAGGTGCTACAGGACAGAGCACTGACCTAAAGTCAGGAAAACCAGAGTTTAAATCCGACCTCAGATGTCAACTATGTGTGTGACCTTAACCAAGTCACTTATCTCTGTTTGCCTCAGTTTCATCATCCATAAAATGAGCTGGAGAAGGAAATGGCAAACTACTGCAGTATCTTTGCCAAGAAATGTGGTCATAAAGAGTCATAAATGATGGAAGAACAACAAAAGGGAAAGGCTTCTGATAGAATGTCAGATTTGAGAAGGGACTTGGAGGAAGCCAGAGAAATCAGGAGGCAGACAGCAGTCTTCTATCTAACATTCTTATCTACCTGATGCCTCTCTCTCTTTATATATGAACATTTTTTTTTAATGAGACTTGTGATTTTAGTTGTGTAAGGAGTTCCTGGTCAGAAAATATATCTAGCAGTGCAGACTGACACCTTCCACACAGCATATAGTCTGGGGCACTGATGGGGCTTTACTTGGGCAGGGTCACAAAGTTAGACTGTGTCAGAGACTTTACGTGAACCCAGTTCTGCCTGACTCTGAGGCCGGTAGCTCTCCCACGGTGTTGTCTCTCATGAATATGAACATCATCAGTAGGTTGATGAATAGCAGACTAGGAGACACAGAGGTAAGTTACTGTGCTAACAATGACTGCTATTACTTTTATAATTCTGAAGACTTGATGAGCAAAGGCCATGCATGAGGATTCCCAGCAACTGACTTGCTATTAACCTTCAAGTACTTCATTTTGCCTGAGTGCTTCAGTATGTATAGCTGTCTAAATGGGATGTAAAAATACCATGGAATTATGAAGCACTAAGATTTACATTTTCTAGAAACAATATATAACAATTTAAGAAAATACTCACATTTATGTGTTGGTCTTAAAAGATAAAATGAACATAATTCACACAAAAAGCCTAATTAATGTACTAAAAAATATTCATTAAAGGAAAAAAAGTCAGTTTATCATGATAAAAGCTAACATCTTTACAGTGATTTATGATTTGCAAAGTAATCTTGTAATTATAATTATAATTTTGTCATTGTGACAAGCCAGTGAAGTAGGTGTTATTGTCATCCCCATTTTACAGATAAGAAAACTGAGGAAAATATAAGTTAACTGATTTGCCAGAATCACAAAGCTGGTGAATGAGGCAAGATTCAACCTCTAATCTTCCCCACTCTAAGTCTAGCATTCCAAGTCTATCTAACAAGTCACCAAGCTACATCATCTATAATATGAAAGGGTAGCAAAGGACAGTCTATAAATTCCTTTAAAGCTATAATCCTTATAAACTGTTATCTTACTCACAAAAGCTAAAAAAAAAATTTAGGTATATCTGTGCAGATGCTTTCAATGCAATATTCTTTCTGTCTGATGAAGAAGATTTGCATTCATAATTTCATCAGGATGGAGAATAACTGGTTTGCAAAATCTCTCTTAATGACACAAATCTGCAATTTATATTTTTAAAAGAGTTGTCTGAAACACTGAGGGGTAAATGACATGCAGTCACAAAGATAGTATGGATCACGGAGACAACTTGAAACCAGGTAATCCTGATTTGAAACATAATTCTCGATCCAAAATGCCAGGCCATCTCTCAACAGAAATATTATGATTAAAATGAAAATATGAAAATTGTTCAAGTCTTTTTTTAATTATACAGTCAAAATTCTTTCACAAGGAAAAATACTTTACCTATAGCTCATCATCTTACAAGTCTTGAGTTGTGATAGTAGAAGCAAATAAAAAGGGAAGATAAAGCACAATGTTATTAGTTATTATACTAGGCTTGTAAGATCAGCAAAACTCACATTGCATTGGTCAAGCTGCCTTTGAAGTCCTTCAGCATCTCCTTGGATAGCCTGCTCTGTCACTAAGAAGTCTTTCACGCCATCCACCCACTTCTCAATGACTTTAGAATCAGCCTAAACCAAACACAGTAATGAAAAGGGGATACCCATCAGTGACAAATGCCTACATCTCAAGACCAATTGCTATTGCACAGAACAATTTTAGAAAACTTTAACAATATCACTTTCATCTTTTCCTTCTTCCGTTTATAAATTATCCCACACAGAATAATTTTCTCCATTCATGAATAAGCTCTTCTCATGTCCAAATGAATATTCCACAGAAATAACATATTTTATTCCCCAAGTTACAAACTACTACCAGCTGAATATGCTTTAGTAAAATTAAAAGCTACATTATTAAAAACTTACTTTATACATGTAAGTACTTAGGTACTTATACCTATGAAAATCTCAATTTTTTTTAAATTATATCCTTGGTTAATGTCAGCTAAAGTTTTTATTCTGATATTTAATTTGAGGCAAATTATTACTGAGATATCTTTACCTTTCCACAAACTGTCTACCAAGGGCTGGAATAAATAATAAATAAATATTGCTTGGCACTTTTTTTTGGTTGTTGGTAGGAAGAATGGCATTAAATAAGTAACTCTCAGGTTACCAAAAAAAAAGCATCAATTTGTTAATAAATCAAGCAATTAATAAATATTTAATAAGTATCATACACCGTGCTGGGTACTTGGGATACAAGAACAAGGATAGAAACAATCCCTCCTCCCAAGAAACCTACATTCTGATGGGGAAGAAAACAAGTACATATCAAAATATATGCAGCATAGATTTAAAGTTAATAAATACTCCAAGATGCTCCCAAAGGAGATAGTTTCTCTCAGAAAATAAAGCAGTCAAACAGATAATGTCACAACATTTTGAATTTTAATTTAATTTAAATTTTGGTATTTCAATTCCCAGCATATCTAACAACCACAACCCCAGACTCCCTTCCAGAAGATGCTTCCAGAATTTAAATATACAGGGTCGACAACCTAAACAGAATGTTTTTCAGTTGTGGAAGAATAATGGATTTAAAACACACAGCCAGCCACACACAAAGATAAAGGAAGACTCTGGAAGAGATTAGCTCAACCTCTACTACAGTACCAAGAATCCTTTCCATACCATCCTTGATATATGATCATAAAGTTTTCACTCAAACATTTCCAGTGACAGGTGGTTTACTATGTCACAATATAGTTCATTCCATTGTTGGATGAATCTAATGCTTAAAAATATTTTCCTTACACTGATTTGTATTTCTTTAATTTCTGCTCATTAATTATATATATTTTAAGCATTATTGATGTAATGTTTTTACATTATATACATTTACAGATTACTACCATTTTATAAGGCATCTTGTAACAAAGTAAAAGTTAAGTAAAATGAATAATAGAATGACCCCATGTGAAAATGAATGCAGTATTTCACATCCATAGCACCTCTCATCTCTCTATTTTAAGAGAAATCTATTTTCTCTCCTACCCTCAACATCATAAAAAAAAATAAAACAAAGAAGAGAAAAACAAATGTCTTGTAACAAATATGCATAGTCAAGTACAACAAATTCCCTCAATCATCACATACAAAAATATATATGTCTAATATCACACCCTGAATCCATCATCTTTCTGTAATGGATAGCACATTTCATCACTGGTCATCTGGAATAATGAATGTTTATTATATTGATCACAGTTCTTAGAGCTTTCAAAATTGTTTGTTTTTTTATAATGTTGCTGTATAAATTACTCTCCTAGCTCTGCTCATTTCATTCTTCATCAGATTATGAAAGTCTTTAAAAATGTCCATCTTTAAAATACTGATATTATGACATAAATGTTTTTTCTGGTTCTGTTCATTTCACTTGATTCACATTAGTACAACAGATCTTTCCTTGTCTTTTTAAAACCATCTGTTTCCTCATTTCTTACAACATAACAATAATCCATCACATTCATATGCCACAAAAAACTTATGCTATCATTCCTCAATTTTTAGTTTCTAATTTTTTGGCATAAAAATGGCTGCTTTAAATATTTTTGTACATAAAGGAACATTTCCTCTCTTTTTAATCTCTTTTGGTTATAAGTCTAGTAAATGCATAGTTGAGTCAAAGGGCATGAACCACTTAGCAACTTTTGTGTATAATTCTAAATTGTTTTCCAGAATGGTTGTACCCACTCACAGATGCATCAGTGTGCCTGCTTTCCCACAGTCCCACTGGCATTTATCATTTCCTTTTTTGTCATATTTGTTACTTTGATGATTATAAGATAGAATCTCAACATTGCTTTAATTTGCATTTTTCTAATTAGTAGTGATTTAGAGCTTTTTTTTTTTTTAATATGGCTATAGATAAGCTGAGGAGTCTTCCCTTGAGAAATGTTTGTTCATATACTTATGCAATTTATGATTTGGGGAATGCAAAAGAAAAGGAGTTTATAAATATCTCTGAAGGAAAGCCCTTTCAAGAACAATTATGAATCCCTCGGGCTTCTCTTCTCGAATCTAACTGTTCCCAGTTCCTTCCACTATTCTTCATATGATATGATTTCCAAATTCTTCACAGTCATGGTTAATTTTTGGACTTTTTTAATGTTGTTTTCAATTAGTGAAAATTTATTTTCTCTCTCCACAAACTGGCTCCAACTCAAGAAAAAAAGAAAAATAAAAACCTTGTAACAAACATGGAGTCAAGAAAAACAAATCCCTGCAATACTCATATCTAAAAAAATATCTCTCTCAACTTAACAGCTGGAATTCATTACTTCTCTGTCACGAAGTGTATAGTGTGTAGTAGGTTTCCAAAACATTTTGAATTTTAATATAATTTGTGTTATAAATATTATTATGATTGGTCATAGTGTTAATCAGAGTTCTTAAGTCTTTTGAAGTTGTTTGTCTTTATTTTAATGTTGATGTTATTGTATAAATTGTTAATCTGGTTCTACTCACTTCACTCTGTTTAATTCATAGAAGTCTTCTGACATTCCCCTGGAGTTATCCTCTCATCATTTCTTTCAGCATAAAAGTATTTCATTTGATTCACATCATAATTCATACAGTCATTCTTGAGTTGATGGGCACTCCCTTGGTTTCCAATTCTTTGTCACCACAAAAATAGCTATTATATTTTTGTACACATAGGCTTTTTTTCTCTTTCTTCTATCTCTTCCAGACACAAGCATAGTAATGATATTGTTGGGTCAAATGGCAGAATAATATTTTAGGTATAGTTCCAAATTGTTTTCCAGAACAGTTGAACCAATTCATAGTTCCACCAACAATGCATTAATGTACCTGTTTTACCACAGTCCCCTCCAACATATCATTTTCCTTTTTGGTTAACTCAACCAATTTGATGGGTATGAGATGGAATTTCAAGAGTAGCTTCAATTTGCACTTCTATAACAATAAGTGATTTGAGGCATTTTTTTCATATAGGCATTAATAAATTGGATGACATACTTCATTTTTCTCACTAGCCCTCTTAAAATGTGATGTCAAAAAAATTAACCCAATACTCCAGCCTGCCACCAAAAAAGTGCATTTGAACTATTAATCCTTAGGATCTAGAAATAATATTTATAGGGGTGGAGCCAAGATGGCAGAGTGAAAGCGGTGACTTACTTGAGTTCTCCCCCAAACTCCTCCAAATACCTATAAAAAATGGCTCTAAACAAATTCTAAAGCAGCAGAACCCACAAAAAAAGACAGAGTGAAACAAATTTCCAGCCCAAGACAACCTAGATGGTTGATCAGAAAGGTATATCGTGCTGGGCTGGGAAAGGTACACAGGCCACAGCAAACCTGGAGCAGGCCTCAGAGGACTGAATCGTGGGCAGCTGAGGCGGTTTCCAAACTTCTCCACCCATGAATGCCAAAGACAACTTATAAGGTCAGTGGGAAAAGTCTGTGACTATAGTAAGGGAGAGGGGCTAGATATTAGCTGCAAGTCTGGAGCGTGCCCCCGGGGCAGGGGCTGCCTCCTGAGCTTCCAGCCCACAGACTGAAGGGGAATCCAGTGGTTGATCAGAGGGGGATTGCAGAGATCTCTTTGCCAGTGCTGAGGTAGGAATCTCCTGCTTTGCCTGCGCTTGGATCTGGGTCACAGTTCTGAGGAGGGCCCTGGGATGAGGAGGAGCTCTGGCATGGTGGAGCTTGTTGTGGCAGTGGAGAGGAAACACCTTGCCCCTTTGTCATACCACCTTGGAAGAACTGAAAATTTACAGGTCCCTAGAAGTTTCTCTGAAAACAGCTGTACAAACCCCCAAAGCTTGGGACAGTACATTCTCCACATTGAAAACAGACTCTTACCTTAACAAAGAGTTTAAAACTCAAGTAATTGGCCAGGATCATGAGTAAGCAGCACAAAAAGAGTCAGACTATATTATCTTACTTTGGTGACTTTGGTGACAAAGAAGATCAAAACATACAACTAGAAGAAAGTCAACAAAGAAAGACAGCAAAGTCAAAGCTCCTACATTCAAAGCCTCCAAGAAAAATTTGAATCAGTCCCAGGCCTTAGAAGAGCTCAAAAGGGATTTTGAGAAGTAAGTGAGAAGTAGAGGAAAAACTGGGAAGAAAAATGAGAGTGATGCAAGAAAATCATGAAAAAAGTCAACAGCTTGCTGAAGGAGACCCAAAAAATACTGAAGAAAATAACACCTTGAAAAATAGCCTAACCCAAATGAAAAAAGAAGTCCAAAAAGCCAATGAGGAGAAGAATGCCCTAAAAAGCAAAATTGGTCAAATGGAAAAGGAAGTCCAAAAGATTACTGAAGAAAATACTTCCTTAAAAATTAGAATACAGCAATTGGCAGCTAGTGACTTTATGGGAAATCAAGACACTGTAAAACAAATCCAAAAGAATGAAAAATTAGAAAACAATGTGAAATATCTCATTGGAAAAGCAACTGACCTGGAAAATTGATCCAGGAGAGAGAATTTAAAAATTATTGGACTATCTGAAAGCCATGATCAAAAAAAGAGCCTAGACATCATCTTTCAAGAAATGATCAAGGAAAATTGCCCTGATATTTTAGAACCAGAGG